CTCCAACATCTAGGCAAAAAATTTTTTTTTTACTAGTTAATTTTATAATCATTTTATATTTTTTATTATTATTTATTATTTTTTATTTAACACTTGGGTTATTAAAAAAAATTAGAAAGAATTAAAAGTTTTAAAATCATTATTATTATTAATATTATTATCATTATTATTGTCATTATTATTAATCATTATAAAACAACTTATACTTATTCTAACAAATTCTAACGGTTTTAAAACATGTGTAAATAACAATAATAATAAAGTTAAAATGATATAAAAATATATATAATAAAATAATAATGAAAAAGAAAAAAACTTTACCTAAACCGGACAGGTTAATAGTCTGGTCAAAGCTGATTCGATTAGATCGAAAAGAAAGATGGTTCGGTAAGTGGTCTGGTTGAACCGATTGAGTGGCGGTTCAATGGTGGTTCAATTAAACCGATTTAAGGCTAATTAAAGGATGGCTCTCCGGGTTAGGTTGCACAGATTTCAAGTCAGATTCGGATCCAACGCAGATCCTCATTAGTCCAATACGACATCATTTAACTTCTAGGCTTTTATATAAAAATCAACTTTTTTTGTCCATTTCATCCCTCCTGCCAAAAAAAACCTCTTTTTTTCTCTAAAGCCAAAAACAAAAAACCAGAATCTGATCACCCTTAGCTACGTCGACCGTCACGCCTGCCGCCACTGATGATTATCGCTGATGGTCGTCGGATATCGAAAAATCCTAAAATGCTCTAAAAAATTCCTTTCACTTTTCTAAATTTGAACCCACATTTTTGCGAGAAACAACCCCGATCAGCGTAGATCGGGGTTTGAAGTTTTGCTATTTTTTTCTCCTCTTTCTTTTTTTTTTTTTTTTTAAAAACAAAACTGATGATACTATTTTATTTTTGCAGGTGGCTTAACGCTACGTTCCTCCCTATAAGAAGGACTTTGTTTGATTTTTAATATGATTTTTTTTGGTGGATTTTTGGTTTTTTGGTTTTCTGATGGGTATTGTGGGAAACTAATGGTCGATGGCTCGTTAGGTACTGGTATGGTGGTTTCAGGTGCAAGGAGTGGATGTGTGGCACTGGATTTAGGTTCCTGGGGTTGGTGCCGAGTGTTAGGGTTCTATCAAGGGTGGAATGAATGGGGTTCCTGGGTGTCTAAAGATATGTCTGGGAGAGAGCCGAAATGAGATGAATTGGGTGCTTTATAGGGCTAGGCGGTGATGAAAGGTGGAGTAGGTGGTGGTTATAAAAAATGGCTGCAAGGTGGTTGGATGTATGAGTAGGGTAGGTTGTAGGGCAAACTCTTGATGGCTGTAGGGTGGCTGATTTGATGGGACTGGACAGGGGCGGCAGCAATGCTGGACACTAGCCTTCCTACTTTCTATTTTTAAAAAAAAAATTTTAAATATATATTTATTATTTTTATTTTACTATTTTTTTATTTAACCATTATTATTATTATTATTTACTAATATAATTAATTAATAATTTTAATATAAAAGAATGAAAATCAAAAACAAGATTTTATTCGATAAACTCGAACAAAATTCAATGTGTACATCACTTGCTAATTTCTTTTTTGAATTAATTTTAATTCATAAAATAATCCGTGTGGACAGATTACTTAAAAAATAATTAGTTGGTTAGTTATTTCAAACTTCTACGATTAATTTGTGTATATATATATTCTAATACACATTCTTGATGAATAATTACTTGAGAGACAAAGCATATGTTAAACCAAACAAATTGATGAACTAATTTGCCTAAATTATTCTCCAGCAAACCATGAATATCCTATATATATATATATAGTACATATTTTGAGCTCTTAATTTTAACTAGTGTACCAAAGGTAGTTCATCTATTTTACATTAAAAAAAAAAAAGGTTATGGTCAGGCATTTCAATGAGTGATAATCACCGTGCCCCATGTGATAGAGAAACTGGAAATGGATCCTTGGTTATTTTGATTTGTAATTCTCCAAGTTAGAGACCTATTTAATTATTCAAAGCGGGAAGCCCGATTATTTGTGAGCCCAACCAAAAAGTATGAATGCGGATTTAAAGACTATGAACTGTCCGGACTAGGCAGGCCCAGTTTCAGAAGGTTCATGCAGAAACTCCCCATTGAACTTAGGAGAAACTCATGTGCCTTGCAATAAACAGGATTGGTTAAGTTTATGTCATCAGTGTGAATCTTTTCTGGAAAGCAAAGAAAAATGTCACTTGTCCAGTTACATCACGGTTAATAAAGAGCTTAAAGATCAGAAACATTAAACCAAGGAAATCTGATCCACAAGCTTATCGTCTCTACCGTTCCAAGAAACTAAGCAACAGTTTTGGGCAAAAGAATGAACCAAAAAAATCTGTTACTGCCATTATTGGCATACCTTTTACTATTCGTGGAAACCAGGTGACATTTCAAGGTAAAGAGGCAGCCAAAATTCTTTAATACGGTTACTTAATGATCAAAACTCTGCTTAACACTTTCCATTTTCTTGCCCTGCAGCATCCATTAAGATGGAAGCCGGCTATCCAGAACTATTAAGAGAAACAAATTAAGCTGTGAGGAAGCCATTGGGTGTTGCCATTTCCTTGGTTATCCTAATTAATATTGTTGTGTTCAAATAATGATTCATATTATACGTTCTTAGATTAGATCATGCAATGTGTACCTTAGCTTATTATTGTGTTAATAAAATTGAAGTTGATGAAAATTTTGTGTTTACTAGCCCATAACAATACAAGATAATGATCAATAGTTGCATAATTTAAATTTAGACAATTTCAATTAAAAAATAATAAGATAATTAAACATCACAATCACTATTGGATAACCATTTGCATTTTCATAACTATCGTAATTTAGATAAAAAATCAAGTAATTAGTAATTAATAATTTAATGCACATTTCAAAGTATAAAAATTAAGAAATAATTATATCAAAGGGAAATGAAATTGCTACTTATTGCCCACTCTTTTGCATACTTTTGTTTATATATCCTTAAAGCTTGCAGTTAAAATTAGTGATTTTTTTTTTTTGGTGTAAAAAATTATTGAATTTGATTATTGTTGTCCTTTTCTACGCCATTAACTTGTAGATGGATAAAATTTTACAAATAAAGTAGAAAATACAAGGCATTGTGGACAACCGAATGGGCAATGTTGGTAATTTTCAGTTTGGTCTGATTTTGCACGAAACACAACATCAATTAAATTCGGTTGTTTGAAACCAAGCCCAACATCTTCCCTGTTTCTCGGATTATAAGCAACTCAAATTTTCAAAAAAATTATTTTTTTAAAGAAAGGGAATAGCTAAAATATGTTCCCTGTATAATTGCCGACGAAAACAAAATCTATAACATCTATCTATTAACAATATATAATACGAACAAAGTTTTTGAAAGATTTACTTCTTGACAGTTGACAGCCCAATTGACTGCAAATTAAATCCTCTAATTTATTTTAACAAAAAAATAAAAATAAAATAAAAAGTGACATATGATTAAATAATTAATTAAATAAATAATAATTAAATAATATATATTTAAAATGTTTAATTATTATATGTAGATGTTTGACTATTTTATTTGATAATATTATTTTTATGATTTCAAAAAGAAAAAAAAGGAAAGTGAAAATGAAAATGTATCATATAAAATAATATAATTAAGCAAATAAAATTAAATAATACATTAATAATTTCTTTATTTTATTTATAATATTTTTACGTGTATAACATATTATTATAGATAAAGTGATATAATGCATGAAAATCATATTCATACCTAATTATAATTTTTGAAGGCGAGAGATTCAAAATCAATACGTTGACAAGGAGATAAAATTTTTTAATGCAATTTATATTTTATACCTTAGGTTTCATTCTACGAATTTTATATATGTATGAAAGTAAGGTTTTGAAAGCTTAACTGATTATATAAACATTAGTAATAAAATTAATGTAAATAAAAAATAAAAATATTTGTCAATTATCTTTTATATTATTAATTAACATTTAAAAATTACGAATTTAAAAGAATTTAAACACATAATAATTTTTTAAATTAGTTATGCATATATTGTGAAGGCATGGTGTCTGGGTTTATTGCATTAATAGAGTTGAGGTGATTAATAAAATTTTTCTGTGTTTGTGAGCTTTTATAGCAGTATTCGATACCATAAATTTCATAATTATTCAAATAATTAATATTGGCGATCATATAACCATTCCATAAAAGGAAGCAAAGTAATACTTAATGCACATTAAAGTTCTATATTATTACTTGAATTAATTATGGTTTAATGGCCTGAATTTAAGTTGTCCTCGAAACTTATAAATGGGTAAATTTTTTATTTCATAAGTTTAAATCCTTTAATGCCACGTAACTTAAAACACTTATGGATGGATGAAATTATACAAATTTGTAGATTTCAAATGCTGCACAACATTCCAACAATTGGTTCATCGTTAGTATTTCTTTCTTACTTGGCTAAAATATTAAAAAGACTCTTAAACTATTTATTTTTCTTTAATAAATTTTTTATTTTTATTGTACTAAAATAATTTTTTATTTTTTATTTACATCTAATCTAAATAAACTTTTATTTAAAGCAAAATAATTTATATTAAGGATTTATTTAAGTACAAATTAATGATTAAGGATTTATTTGAATATAAATTAAAAGTTAAAGGCTTATTTGAGTGTAAATTAAAATTTAAGAGTTTATTTGAGCGTAATAAAAATATTAGGATTTATTTAAATATAAAGTGATAAAATTTAAGATTTTTGTAATTATTTTAACAAAAATATTAAATATTCCTCTTTCATCCTATGTCTTTGTTGGGCTTCTTAAGCCAGGTCTGATTTTGCACCTTAGGCCTACATAAAGCAACGTTGGGTTCAAAACCAAGCCCAATATGTTTTCTTTGGTCCATGATAAATAAACCAAGCCCCCCTCGACATCGCTCTCTCTCTCTCTCTCTCTCTCTCTCTCTATAACACGAGGAAATGCTCTCCGATGAGTATCTGTCCCCTGCGTTCCTACATCACTGTCGACTCCGAGCTCTCTCTTCAGCTAACGTTTTTCTCTTCCTAATTTTCTTTTACAACTCCCACCTTAAAAACTGCTGCAAGTTGTCTTGTTTTTAACTGATATTTACGAAACAGGCAGCTTTTCTTTTTGTTCCATGGATCGTTGGAGTGGTGTTTTAAAGGTTCAATTGGACCCAAATAGTAGGAATTACTACAGAATCGCTGTATCTCTCTGCTTCTCATCTGCCTCCAAGTCCCTAATTGTAAGTTATTTTCCTTTCTATCAAACTTTCAAGCACCGTCTGAAATCAATATCTCACAAAATCTTTGTTATTAGGTGCCTTCAGCGAATGCCATATTTTTCAATGGAGATAGAGTTGAAGGTACCAGGAATCCAGTCGTTGAGAGACTATCTGATTTGCAAAAAATAGCTCAAGTTTTAGTTTCCAAATTTGGTGGTTCTATTAATGCTTGGGTTATTGAGGCTTCCATTTTCAATGGGCCTTTTGCTGTTTATAAGGATTTTATCCCATCTGTGAATAGATATGGGGAGCCTAAATCATATGCCCCTGTTGGATTCCCAGCTTCTACATCAGTTTTCTCACTCCTATCAAATTGCCTTGAACAGGTTTGTTTGATAACCACAAATTGAAGTTTTCCTGCTGGTGGATGAATTAGCTCCGTCTGGTTCCTGCTGGATCATTACACATAGAATGATATAAATTTGATGAATTCCCACAAAAACTGCTAGTATATATGTCTTAATTATGGTATTTATCTGCAAACTGTTAGATTGTTAATAAATATTTTCAGTTTGTTTAATTTGCTCCTTGGATTCCCTAGCAAGCATTTATGGAATTCTAAATATTTTGGCTGTTTAATGATTTTCCATGTACTAAATTTATCATTATTGCAGGCAAAAAATGTAATTTCAAGTGGGCGGAGTAAAACCTATTCCATCTGTATATCTGCATCACAACCCACAACTTTAATTCTTGGGTTTAGCAAGGGTGGTACTGTAGTTAACCAGCTTGTCACTGAACTTGGATCTGTGGAAGACAAACCCTCTGTAAGTCCCACCCATGTAAGAGAACTGCCTGGGGTTATGGAATTATCTGGAGTCCAAGAAGAGATTCAAATAATTCCTAGGACTAAGGAAAGCCTATTAAACAGTATCACTGAGATTCATTATGTGGATGTGGGCTTAAACTCTTCTGGTGCATACACCACTGACCAAAACGTGATTAGAAGGATATCAAAACGCCTTGTAGATGGAGCCCCTGGAATTCGTTTTTTGCTTCATGGAACTCCAAGGCAATGGTGTGACAGCAGGCGAGCTTGGATACGAGATGAAAAGGATAAATTGTATCATTTGCTTGAAGCTGAAGCTAGAAGGAGTGGTGGGAAATTAAAGGTGTGTGAGAGATTTTATTTTGCTGATAGGTCTCCTGATATGCAAATGCATTTTGAAGTTATTGAAAAGATGGATGTCAGTTGATTGAATGATGCACTTGGCTTAGTTAATTTAGCCATTTTTCATTCCCCCCCAGTCTTGCCCTGTATGTATTTATGCTTGAAGAAAATGTTTTATATAATTCAAGAGAAAAGAAGTTTCATATGTTTCTTGTTTCACAATGCTCGGACTCTCAATGATATGCGGGTAAAAGTCATTGAATTGAATAGAGCTAAGCCTTTTAGGTTAGCCTTTTACGTTATATTTGGTGCATAGGATAATGAATAGGGTAAGTTAGATCAAGCAATAAGAAAGACAAGATATATTTAGCCGGAGAAAATAGCACTGATGGTAGGGCTTCCTTATCTACTCTCCTACCGGAGTGAAGATGTTATGGGTAAGAGAAGAGGAGTCAACTGATAACCAAAGCAAAATAATCCATCGTGGCATGACCTGGTAATCCTTCATTGGTTACCAATGGCTAGTGAATGGGCATGAATGCCGCATGATCAGGAAGAAGATCATAGCGTTCTCTATGGTTTGCCTCTTCATGTTTCCACAACGCTCTCCCTTTCCTTTTGTGTCTCTGTAATAACAAATTTCTAACTTTGCACGCCATTGCCAATGCTGCCTGAATTTTGTTGACGTTTTGTGTTTCCTCAAAGCTTTGGAAGAAAACAATACAACTAAACAAAACCTTGAATTTCTTGATTCAACTAACTTAACACTAGAAGAAACCCAAGCAGCAAGCCATACTTTAAAGAAGGATTTACGCTAGAATAACTACAAAAAAAAAAAAAAAAAAAAACCCGGTAGCGAAAATATGATTCCCTGAACATCAAATAAGCGAATTGAAATTGTTATTGATATATTGTAATTGGACCAAGGCAAAACCCTAGCCATCTCAGTCGGCCCAAGGGGTTGGGTTAAGGATTGTATTCGGCAGTTATTCATTGGGCCAACCTTTAGTTTGAAATGAGCTGCTTAAACCCACAAAAAGGCCCTTAGCGGCCCCCAATCGAGTAAAAAACAATGGTCTAGCTAGCATGCCTTGTTGTGACGGCGGAAATTCCCACGGCTCTACGGAAGCGCTAAGAGACAGCAATTGAGGCATGGAGCTCACGGTCTCACTCATAGTCTCATAATCTAATCTTTTTTATGGAATTTTTTAGATGCATTTCTACATCGTGGACGGGTAGTTGGCGAGTTGTCTCTGCCGGTCAAACCAGTGAAGTCTGAAAACTATTCTATCTCAAGTCTAATGAATGTTTTTTATCCTTTTGTTTAGTGTTTTTGTTGATCTTCCGCCCCGCTTAAATCGCAAACCCAAAACCCCAGAATTTCCCAGTTACTTCCAAACTCCCAGCAAGCATATCCTTGTTGGATTCTTGTGAAATCCTCTGCTACTGGCTTACATCTATAAACCCTGAAGGGAGCAACTTTATTTCATTCTCTTACCAGCAATGGCATCTCTTTCGCAGTCAGCTACCTTCCTCATCACCATCTTCTTCTTCTTCTTTACATTCATTCACATCCCAACCACACACGCTATTCCTTTCGTCGTTTTTCACGGTAATGTTCCACTGAGTTTGCCGTTCCATTTTTTACTTCTAGTATAATTGTTAGTGTAGGACCATTGACATGCTTGCTCTCTGTTTACAAAACGAACTGTTATCGAGGTATAACTGAAGTTATTGCTAATTCTATGTAATTTTAGCGCAACCAATTTCTTTGAGAGTCAAATCCTGATTAGTTGCCTAGGAAAACTGAAACTAAAATATGGTTCTTTGATTGTCTAAATTCCATGGGTCGGTTTGAATAAACAAAATTTTCACTTGACTTATTCTGTCAGTTTTTGGTGGAATTCTTGACACCTGCCATTGGGTCTGTGGAGCGATATTGATAATTTGTAAACCTTGTGGAAAACAAAATGTAATTTTGTTTTGGAGCTAGAATTTATCAAAAATATGCATCTAATATTCATATAAACCATAAACTACTATCTAGATTTTAAGATCTGAACACAGCTATAATACTGTAGCAAAATAGTCTGGTTCCTGTTCTTCCCCTATCTTTAAAGTAGAATAAGGACCTTTTATCCTCCATAACTCTTTATCTTCTTTATAACAGCAGGAGTTTTATTTTTAGATAGTCTGGAGACAAACCTATGTTATTCACTACTGACACGTTTTGTGGCAGGCATTAGTGATAAATGCAGTAACCGTGGAGTCACTCAATTCACTGAACTTTTAAGCAGCTGGTCTAATTCTCAAGGCTACTGTGTGTATGTTCTTTTTTCATGTTTCTTTTATGATTCTCTTATCATTTTCATATTTTTATGACTGCAAATATAAAAATTTTTCTTTGGTAATCTTCCCAAATCAGAAGTTTAATTTAAGTGTCTATGCAATTTGGGTCTCAAAACCTTGCTGTAGTTACTTGTACTGCAAATCTTTATTTTGACGATGATGTTCTTTATTGTATCATTTCTAATAAGCTTATGAGAAGGCATCAAGAACAAGTGAAATTTGTTTGAGCTTATTCTCAGACTCAGCTCACCATTTTCTCTTATTTTAGAAAACTCATACTGCTATTCTAGGTATCAATGCGTGCATTTAGCAGTATGTGTGTAATACTCTTCTGCATAAGCATGTGCATGGGTCTGCACATGTCTGTGAGTGTAAATTTGTTCTTCTGATCATGCTATTCTCTGGAGCAAAATTTTGTATGAATTCTTGTAACTACATTCTGAACCAAATAATCCGACATCCTTTTCATGGCTGTAGGGAAATTGGAGATGGATCATGGGATTCATGGACTATGCCCCTTTTAGAACAGGTGACACATTGAACTGAGTTTGAGATTTCTCATCACCTGTAGTCCCTATAATAATCATATAACCATAACCTATCTCACTAATTCTTGCAGACATCAATTGCTTGTGAGAAGGTCGTAAAAACATTTGGTAACATTTATGACTTTGCTGTATTATAGTTGAAGTTCCAACTTGATCTGAATGAATCTTAATTCCAACTTACAGGTGAAAAACATGAGTGAACTGAGCGAGGGTTACAACATAGTTGGACTCTCTCAGGTGATTAATATAAATTGAAACTTTGCTTGTATCTATAATTTATACTTGTTCTATGTGTGCACATGCCCACAAATGTTCATTCATGTACAAACTTTTTTTAATGGTTTTATGTATTAATATTTCATATAATCCTTTTCTTGTACACAGGGTAGCATGATTGGTCGAGGGGTTATTGAATTCTGTGATGGAGGACCCCCTGTAAGAGCTTATTATTAAAAACTTTGATATTGCATTGTATTGCATTTTATTTAATATTTTGTTTAGCCTATCAACACTGCTAAGAAGCCCTGGACTCGTCTTCAATATAAGGCAATCAATTTTGAACAAATCCACTTGCATACCATTAGTCATAATATAAGATGCTATAGGTTTAGTAACCTAGTAGCAACAAATTTCATTTTGTCAATTGTCAAATTCATATAATATGAAATAATTATGCGGAGTTGTTGGTTGCATACTGCTATGAGCTTCCCTATTTGGAATTTATAGCATCATTTATTAGTAATATCACTTTAGTTTTTTACTTTTCTCTTTCTCCTTACCAAAATGTAGTACTGTAATTGCCCCTCCTAGTGAATAGGCAGTTGGAATGCGAATGTTACTGGTTCAGCTGGCCACAAGATGCCCCTTCTCTAGCATATGTGCTGACAAAGCCTCATCATCTCCTCAATCTTTATTGCTGAATTGTTTTCTTTTTCAGCTTTTTTGCATGCTTTTACTTCTCCTGTACTTTTCTCTCTCTTGCGCTATTGCAAGTTACTTTTGTCTTCTAACTGAAATCTAACACTATATCTTATTTTTACCTCTGTGATTCAGGTCAAGAATTTCATATCTTTGGCAGGGATTCATGCTGGTACTGCTTCAATTCCATTTTGTGGAGTGAGTGCCTGTTCCATGGTTTTACTCATTGTTTACATATTTTTGGTAATTATTTCAGACTATTATTGCATTCTGGTCTGATATGCCCTTTGTTTGGCAGTCTGCTCTGATATGCATACTTCTGGATAGCTTAATCAAGTCGGAAATTTATAGCGACTATGTCCAGGTATAAGATTCTTTTTGAACTCTCCAGTCTTTACATAGTTAGCAAGTCTGTTGATAGGGGAAGAAACTGATAAATACGAATGATGGTTCCATCTCCTTATGGATCTTGTATATCTCAAACACCCTGCAATCCCCACCCTTCAGCATATTTTTCTTATCTTGTTTGTATATCTAAATGGGAATTTAATACCATCTCAAATGAATACCGTTGATAATTGCAGGAACACTTGGCGCCCAGTGGTTATCTTAAAATTCCAACGGTGAGTATAGTTCCTAACTTTGGCTTAATATCTTTGGTTATGCCAATTATCATGTTGTATCATTAACAGTTTGGCATTAAATATTCACATAGAACTTTACAATAGTGTTTTAGTGCAGGATTAGGAGTCTCCTGCTTTTGTTGACGTATATTGTTTCTTTATCATTTTCCTTCCTTTCTTCATTTTGAGTCGAATCAATTATGTTGTCACCATTCACACTTGTACAACTTTCCCCACGTCAGTGGTCTAATTCAATTCTTTTTCTCTTTCACCAGGACATATCTGGCTATCTCAAAGGATGCAGATTCCTCCCAAAACTCAACAATGAAATCAATGGCACGAGAAATTCCACTTACAAGGAACGGTTTGCCAGTTTACAGAATCTAGTGCTTATAATGGTAAGTTGAAGTTTCCTTTTAGCCAACTTTGGAGGAGTAATCTGTAATTTTTCTCACCCGTTTTGTCATGCTAACTCTTTCCTTTGCATGTTTGGATCAGTTCGAGGATGATACAGTTTTAATACCTAAGGAAACATCCTGGTTTGGTTATTATCCTGATGGTTCCTTTGATACTATATTGCCTGCACAAGAGGTAAATCTGCTTTAATTATTTTAAAGCAACTGTTTTATAGGCAGAGATCATTTTTCCTTGACTAGGTTTAGAACAGCAATCTTTGTTTTGGGAGTATTTCTCGAAGTCTTGTAAATCAATGTTTAAGATGAAAATAACGACTGCAGTTGTCTATTTCTCTGCAGACCAAGCTTTATAAGGAAGACTGGATTGGTTTGAAAACCTTAAATGAAGCTGGAAAAGTTAAATTCATAAATGTGTCAGGTGGTCATCTGCAAATCGCGAAAAGTGACATGAAGAAGTACATTGTACCATACTTGGATGACCAAGCATATGCACCAACAGAGCAGACTGTGACAGAATCTTCATCTTATGAATGGCTTTCAAGACTCTGGTACTTGTTTAAGGATCTAATTGGCCTTGATGAAGATCTACCTTTGGTGCGTACCGCGTGCTAAACCAAGTGCTATTGTCTTGTCTGAATAAGACGAAGCAAAATACAGTACGGGTTTAGCCTCTACCTCTACCATTCAGATGTTTGAGAACTTCCTACTCAAAGATGTAATCCTCTTGCACCAATTAAAAAAAAAAAAAACTCTCCAAATTAAACATATTGGCTAACCTTCAGCAACATGTTCTGCAACATCAATTACCTTAGCAAAAGCCCCATGTCCTGAAACAAATTCCAAACACATCAAATCCATGATTGTTATGGAATATATCTTTTTCACTAAGGCAATCTGATACAACTGTCAGACAATCAATACAGTGCTCGCATGACCCAACAAATACAATTAAAAAAAATTTACTACACTACTAGTACTTGCCAAAGGAATTCTCCAAAACACTGGTAAAGTCACAACAGGGGTCGATACAGATTAAGTCCTGAGAGGACATATAAGATTATATAAAAGATATTGTTGCAATGAATACAGACACAAAAATGTACAGGTTTACATCAATTCCCCATGCAAAGATTTGTTACAAGGGAAGGAAATTCACCCAGACCTAAAAGCAGACTTACTTTAAACAACAAATTGGGAGACAACAAAGGGAGAAAATCAAAAGGACTATGCCAACTTGTTCTGAAAGTTCTTATATTCGAAAGGTTACAGAGATGGTAAAACATCCTTATAGCCTATGAAACCCTTGCCTAATATTAATTTGGTTCCTGAATTAGATGGAAGGTTCTACTTGGTGGTGCTCGAGGTTTCTAAGTACGATTCTCGCAAAGATTTTAGCCTCAATAGGGGCAGTTGCTGCTGCAGCTGCAGCACGCAGAACTCTTGCAGCTCCAGCACCCTGCATAAGACTAGCATGATGCACAGCATGTCGACCACCAGGTAAGGTGAACTGCAATTATTGAATAAAATGAAAAAAAGGAACATGTAAAAATCCCTTGGTGTAAGTTCAGCAATACATATTATGCTTCAGAAACAAGAGTTTTCCAAACAGGATCTTCATAGTTACTGGAGCCCATATAAATATATTACCTGGAGTAGTGCAAACGCAGCACAGGCCTTGAGTATTGAAGAAGAGTTTCGAAGCATGAAGATAAATCTTCCAATTTCAGCCCCACTAAGGAATATAAAGTCATGTTAATTCAGAGAGATTAACTTAGAGTCACACCCTCCTCCCCTACCCCCCCTACCCCCCAACACACACACACACACACACAAGCAGGCAAAACATGAAAGAGAGGAATAGAATCAAAGAATGACGCTGCTACTCAAAATGATTAATGGGTTCCAACCAGCCCAAGATAGCTGGACCAGATTCTTTTAATGAAGAAAATTTGGCAAGTAAGCTAATCAAACAGTTTATTTTATCAAGAGTAGCACAAAGTGAGACATATTATACAGGAGGTTATCTCTTAATAACTTTATTAAAAGCATATTGCATTCCCTTCCATAAACTTACAATTGTGTTTTTTCATTGACATCTATAGTGGGCATTTTCGTCATTAACAGCGAGCCATTTTCTTTTTGCACTTCATGCAATGAAATTGAGAACATAATTATCTTAAAGCACAAATGCATCTGGAATACAAAACGGAGGAAATGGATGAAGGAAACCTGCATCTCAGATGCCCTGCTTCTTGAATGCGAGCTTTTTCAGTTACTTGTGACAATGCTGCTGGAGCTGATGAAGAAGCAGCTGCTGCAAATGCTTGTGGATCGGAGAATGTAAGAATAAAAGCTTCAATATGCTTCAAAGCCATTCTTCTGGCCCCATCCAAGCTCACACTCTTTGAAGTGCTTTCTGATGACGTGCCCATTGGTGCAAACTCATCGATTCTGCTAAAAATATCAATTGATGCAAATTATTATCAAGATGGCTCTGGCTGTTCTTCCCACAGGACGCATACAAGATATTAGGAGCCTTTTTACATTATATAATATCTTGCATATGCACAATAAACCACTAATTTCTTGGTAATATCAACCTCATCTCTCAGGGTATTCATTCACTTAAGCCCTTCAATGTATTCCTTCTACCAGATAGTGACTCTTAGAACGTAATTTTCTGAAAAAGCAATCATTTAATACCCCTTGAAGGAATTATGGCATGTGTTATCTTAAAACTTTAATTAGAGCTGTCATGGAAGGTCCCTGGAAGAATTACTTCTCAAGTTTAGTTGATCAGTTGGCTTAATTTCTCATGAGTTACCTTTTATCTTATTTAACCAAGGACATGAGGGGAAAAATCAGAATCTGATACAAGCATTTGATATCTAGAGATTTGAGTGAAAAAAAAAAAAAAAAAAACAAATTTACAAATTTTTATTATACTCCATGATATGTGAAAGTAACTTTTACTAGTTCTAAATTGACCTTAACTCGTTATTTAGGAATCAGTATTGGTGGGCATCCAGACCAGATTCTAACAAAATCTATATGTATTGCAAGAAAAAAATAATAATAATAATTTGATATATTTGAACTTCTTTGAAAGATTTCAGAAAAGAACAATATACAAACTTTATCCATAGATCACTATACCAATTTACTCAATTCAGAAGCTGCTTTTATAAGGATAGAAATATATTTTCCAGTTTTCAGTCCTTGGTAAAAGTAGTCTTAAACCTGAGATTTCATCATGAGAAAGCAGAATACAACATTATACACCAAGTAAATATTACAGAGAGATAACCATACAAGGAAACGTAACAATACAAGGTCCTGATAAAGTTTATGCAATTAAGGGTAGAAACAATACCTCCCATCAAACATGTATGCCAGTGCCAATGCAGCCATGAAGCGTGCCATCTTTGATACCGATGAAGAACAAAGATTAACAAGTGCAGGAACTCCACCTTCTTCCACTATCCGAAGAGCATTACCATGGTTAAAAGCAAGGTTCCAAAGAGCCCCTGCAGCTGTTTCATGAACATCCTGAAAGCAAAAGCATAAGTTAAGATCAACTGAGATGCCACTGGAACAAATTGATATTATATACTAGCAGCAAGGGCTGGCATGTGAAATGCTTACTTCAGCATCAGAGCGTGCAAGGGTAATCAGGGGTGCAACACCTCCTTCTCGTCCAATAGCAATACTAACAAAGATCAAATATAAATAGCATCAATATCCTGCCTGCTAGAGTTCCATGGCATGATAAAATGAGAATATTTGCTTGGAATAATGTATGAACAAAACAAAAAACACAGTTGCACCATTAACACTAAGAAATTATTTGATCCAGTGCTGCCTATCATCCAGTAACAAACTTCCATTTCTCATCATGAAGCTTTGGTAGTGGTAATCATAATGATAAGAAGCACGGAGCAATCAAATAATGCTGTGTAGCACAAACATGCATGTTGAAGACTTCAGAACAGCAATATGCAAATTACCAAAGGTTTAGGGCAATATCCACTAGCACCACCCTATTTTGGTGAGGCCAACCATAGGATGATAGCAAAGGATTATGACAACACTGTGGTACAGAAAAGAAGGAAGAAGACGAGAAGATGCCAGAATTAACAGAGGTTCTGCTCCTGTTGTTTTAAGCCTTGTACACTAAATGCATAAAAACTTCATAGTTAAAAAAATTTCTCAAATAATGTGTTCAGACCAACTTTATCATAGGTTTGCATGTCCACGTATAAAAGAAAAAAATTACATTACCTATTAGCTTCGGACACTGACAATCCCCAAAGAGCACCAGCCGCCCTCTCTTGAAGACCTGGGGAAGCATTTGAACAGGATTGGGCAAGAGCAACCTGTAAAAAAACAAAATACCAATATCTTTAAGATGTAATGAACTCTTTACCAAATGAAACACATACAACAACAAAAATTTTTCCACTTGAGATCTACCAAAGACTTATCATGAAGCCAAGAGCACAATTTGACTAATTTTTAACATTCGTCAATTTCAGTAGCACTTCATTATAGTGGCTAATATTTCAGGATTCAGAATTTTACACCATGCCACCAACACAACAAGGAGAAAGACCAAAAAGGAAACTCAAAGATATCCATCGGAATCCATGGCATACATGAAAGAGAAAGCCGCAGATGACCAAAACACATCTTTCCCACATCGAAACATATTAAGGTTGATAAAGGCATTTAACGCAGGAAACATACTAAATGATTTAAAAGTCCACAGAGAACAATTTGCCCAAGCAAAAAAATTATGTAATGGCATACATGAAAGAGAAAGCCACAGATGACCAAAACACATCTTTCACACATCTAAACATATTAAGGCTGATAAAGGCATTTAACGCAGGAAACATGCTAAATGATTTAAAAGTCCACAGAGAACAATTTGCCCGAGCAAAAAATTATGTAACCTGATACACCACTAAAAATTACTGGATATTTGAGAGGCCTTTTACTAGACTCAAACAATTATCCACTTTTTGCTGCACCTGATGGTAACCAAGGCTACCCCTGCTTAGACAGAGAAAACATTAGGTGCTAAAAAAAGATAAATATCATACCAATGCCTCAACACCACCAGCTGCCGCAATTGCTTCTCGATTTCTGTCATCAAATGACAAATTCCACAAGGCACCAGCAGCTTCTTGCCTGTTCCAATCAGCAGGTATCATCACACATGTTAGAACAAACCTTTTAACAGAATCAGCTAATTTTGTGAATGAAGAAAAAATGTTAAGGTCTATGAGTTATAGACTGGATTTAGTTTTGGGGGATCAACAGGAAAATGAAGAGAGCTGGAAAAAATATTTTGGGACCAGCTGATGAATATTAAACCTATTTACAAGTAAAAGCATCTAATAGGTAGTACAAAGATAGAAAGATGGTGTTCAGCAGCCAGAAATCAGAAACTTGGAATGGGAATTTGATGGAACCAAAGGCAACAATCCAAGAAAAACTAGGATAGAATGCCTCCAGCTCAAGTCAAAATCAATTCTAAAGCTTCAATTCCATAATACAATAAAAAGTTTTATGAGAAAATTCACTAACACAAACACACATAAATGAATGCATTTAAGATATCAAAGAGCCAGCTGAAATACGTTAATTATGAATTACCTGACACCTTCATCAGGAGAACGTGTAAGTTGAACTAACGCTTCAAGAGCACCAGCCTCTTGTCCAACAGCAGCATTATTACTGTTGCTATCACCATGAGCAGCCAAATTTGCTAAGGCTCGAGCAGCCTAACATATTTGGACATGACATTAATCAACTCCCAACAAACAAGTAGTATATGGTATCAGAAATAAGCCTTGAATGCTGAAAAATAAGACTGGTTTCCAACACAAACGTAAAGAAAAGCATGTTGATGGTTGAAGCCATGATTTTGAATATTGAAAATTCAAGCTTTCTGAATTTCATGCCTGCCAGAACACATAGGTAATTAAAGCATTTGCAGATGACAGCATGCTTAGCATCCAAAGAAGTGCAGTACGGCATTGATGAGGGTACTCCGAAAATTTCCACAACCTAGAACTATGTGACAAAATACCCTAGAGACAGCAGTATTGGTTAGCTAAGTTGTTATGACAGTGTAATAACATAGCCATTCTAATCATTTCAGATCCAACAATTCAATGGAACTGTAGAGATTATATCATGCATGGTCCAAGGTTCCCTCTCAATTGTGAAAGTAACAGCACCTGTTCTTGCACTCCTTCAAACTTGCAGTTACGAGCAAGCATCACCAATGCGTGCACACCACCTGCGTTGGCAACTTCCATACTGCATTTATCATCAGCAGCCAAATTTGCCAGTGCACCAGCTGCACGTTCCTGAAAACAAAGGAAATCATGATCCAACCAACAAACTATAGCCTGACACAACTCCAACAGGCAAGGGTCAGATGCTACATGATCTTTAAACATAGTACACAAGCAAATACATTGCATAAAGAGAAACATACAAGGACTCCATCACCACCAGAGGACCATTTGAATATAAGGTCAACTAAAGCTTTAACTCCATCAGCCTCAGCAATTGCAGCCTATTTTTTTTTTAAAAAAAAGGTGGTTAGAACTAGAGATAAAAAACTTATGTTCCCAGGTATGAGAAAAAGCATTGCATAGAACAAAACCTTGTGCTCTTCCCCAACAGAAAGGTTCCATAGCCCTCCAGCTGCCTCCTCAGCGACCAGCCTGCTCATGGACCTCGCCAACGCAGCAAGGATATTAATTCCCCCTTCTTCAGCAACAGCTTTAGCAACATTCACATTGACAGACAAGTTTGCTATAGCCTACACCATTAAAAGTCCAAATCAACTCAAATATTAGATAAGAAACTAGCAACCCCAGTATTTAAGAAAATAGATGGAAAATGATAATGAACACAGAAGTACTGTGAATAACATGTTCTTAAGAGACACTATGTATCAAATCATCCTATGATAACCAGAATTAAAAAATTCAGTTAAAAGAAATGAATATGATGAATTGATGATAATTGCACTATGATAATAAAACTACTATATTTTTTCAAAATAAAAAGAAAAATATATAACCTTTGCAGCCTCGGACTGAAGCCCTTCCCGCCAAGATTTTGCTAGATTCAGAAGAAGCCGAATGCCACCTTCTCGCATAACTGCTTCAGCCCTTCCACAATCTATGCTAGCATTTTCATCATCAATAACAACAAAAGCCGCAAGCCCAGTGGCTGCCCTTTCTTGAACATCCTCTTGTGAGCTCTGCATTAAGCTGAGCAACAGTGCTGCCCCTTGCTTAAGCCAGAAATCATGAAGACCTTGTGTGTTCGTCTCAGCAGTACGCAAAAGCGTGTGAGATAGGATCCATTCAAGCCAAGTCATGATCTCATTCAAGTTTTTATCTTTGTTCTTTGAGCGCCTCCAATCCAAAAACACATTCCTCCCTTTCTTTGTAGTTTCGGCAAATAAAGAGGATAGTCCTCTAAAAATATCTGAGAAAAGAGCAAGCAACAATTTATCTTTGGTTTTACTGGTGCTAATACTAGTGTCCTCTTCAAGAACCGGACAGTTTAAAGCACACAAAACCTTCAAGCTCTGGGATGAGGATAACAATCTAGAAACAGCAGTTGAACCAATATCAGTTCTTGAAACATCCAACCCAATCAATTTAGGCAGCTTGTGCCAGAGATGCGAAACTACACCCCATTTCATATTTGATGTCCCTGCAACAGAGAGGAAACGAACAGATAAAATATTTCCCAATGCAGCCTCATCAACTTTTAGACAATCAAGGAACCCAATATCAACCAGATTTGAACAGTGCTTAGCCAAAGCATTGATTGCATCAGCATAAACATCCCTTATTCCAGACAACCGAAGTTTCTTCAACTTTGGACAGCAAAGAGCTATTGCTTTTATAGCATCACCAGTGATCCTCTCACAAAAGTCCGGCCCAAGCTGAAGACTTTCCAGAGCCTCATGTCGAGCAACAATCACAGATAGAGTAGCATCAGTTATTTTCCTGCAGTAATCACCACTTATTTCACGCAAATTCTTAGCTTGTAGATGAATTATTGCATCAGCAGACTCTGCCCCACGAAACCTAAGCTTTTGAAGATTCACACACCTAGAAGAAAGCGAAGTAGCCATTGCAGTATCAAATTTATGAGCACGAAGATCCAATGAACTCCATAAACACTGAGAAGCACCCAAAACCCTCCATGTCCTACACGTTGATGACAAGCTCTCTCTGTCACGATAATTCAGACATGAAAACAATTGAATCACAGTATCATCAGGCAAGCTTGTCCAATCCACAAAACCATTTCTCTCATGACCTAAATCCTCAACTTCAATTTCAGGGTAACTTAGTGAGACAACGTCATACTTCCCTTTCTTTGCAGCCTTGCTCCGCACCCTACGACTCATGTCTTGATCAATCTAAACAGAACTCCAGATACCGAAATCCTTTGTCTCAAAGCAACTAAACAAATAACCCGTAAGTGCACAAACAAGGAACTAAATACATAAACCCTTTAAACTCAAAGACCCAATTCATAAAACCACTTAAGAAGCATAGAGACACCAAAAAAGCAATGGTCTTTGGCCTCAAAAACCTTAACCCTCAAACAAGCAATGTAATTGTATGCACATCACAATCAACAAATCTTGAATTTTGATAATTTACAATAACCCAATTGTCCGATATCAACAACCCAATAAAATCTACAATGATAAACGCATTGCAGGGAAGAAAATTGAATGTTCTTCTCAAACCTGAAAGAGTTAAGGCTTCCTAGGTATGTGGGTAAACCCTTAACTCTCGTAGCTTTCAGGTTAAATCACTAAGCGCTTTTCTTTTTATCTGATTGCTTTGAAGAAGCTTCACTGAAACTACAACGGATAAAAAGAGAGAACGAGAAAGAGAAAGAAAAGGAGAGAGAGTTGAGGAAGCGTTGGAGACAATTCAGGCTAGCATATCAGAGAGAGAGAGATGAAAAGCAATGAAAGAAAGAAACCAAACCCCTAAGGCATGTGTCTAACTAAAACTCTGTTGCTAAGTTTTTTCATTTTTCATTTTTTTTTTTTTTGTGTGCACACAAGCAAAGAGAGAGAGAGAGAGAGAGAGAGATAAAATGGATAATTTGTATTAAGAATTTTTATAGCATTATTATTTAGAAGTGAGGAGGAATCATGCCTGACAAGGGTTAATATATAGTATTACTTTTTTTTTTTTATTAATGGAGAGGGTATAAAATCATTGCCCCCTATTGTAATTTGCTGCTTCAAAATTATTATTTTATAGTTATAATATAAATATAAGAAAATTTTGGGTAAGAAAGAAAGATAATCACAGGTTAAGGTAACTAAGGCATAATATAAAAATCATGCTTGAAGTTGAATCTCAATCTTAATCACTTCGCCTTAAGCAATGCCACGCGGCACCAATCAAAGGCAATCGAGTCCACATATGTCTCGCGCGCTGTAGTCTTCACACGTGTAAATAAATCACTGCATTAACTGTAAATCCCAGTCACCGGAGTTTCCATTCAAAATGACAACCCCGCGCATATTTAAACCCACTTCACTCACTCCCCTTCAAAGCATTTTCTTCCCCAATTTTCTCTCCAACTTTCCTCCCATCCAAACAACAAAGAAGAGCTTCGGCGCCAATGATGTCGTTTCACTTCAATAACAACCTGCTGGGAATCATCAACTCCGAAACGTTCTTGTTCTTTATCCCAATGTTCAAGCAGATCTCTCTCCCTTGCTTTCTATCGCAGCTCCTGTTCCATGATAACAGTGATCCAGTTATGGGGATTTTAATCCAATCGATTCAATGATTTCCAAATGTATTCTTTTAGTTAACCTTCTCAAGTAACATTAGAATACAAGCATGGCGATTAGTTCTTGAAAAAAATATGATACGTTACATAATAAAGAGTTGGATTTTCAAAATTTTCCCATCACTCAATTGCACACAACATCAGAGTAAAAAGCTATGGTTCTCCTTTGACAATTCTGTATGCTGAGTAATTCTATGTCAAAAACTTCGAACTGTTTTGAGCTGAAAAATGTCGAAGGTCCCACCTGAAGAGGAAAACATAATTTCCAATGAATCAAGTTAATCCAAATTGATTTAACGAAAAAAAGAGAAATGAGAAAAAGGGTAACCTAAGTCCATTGCAGTGTGGCAGAACAGAAAAATGGCATGGCAATAACATTATACTAAAATTAATGATAATAGTTTTCTCAACACAGTTTAGGCAGTAAGTGAAGTACATAAGAATTTGATTTACAGACAATCTTGTTCTTCTACTTATTTAACAGCAGGATTTAAGGCAAATATGAAAATTCAAATAGATGTTTCACCCATCATGACCCCTGACATATGAGCTGAAGGCCTATGCCCATGTCAAATAGGGGAGGAAAAGACCAAATAAGACATCGGTCGAAAGTCAAAGCTCTCAAAAAGGACCTCACTTTATTGAGCTTATTGAAAACTATGATCCTAACATAATACAAAAACCCATGTACCTGACTGCACAGTGAGAAAAGACCTAAATATGTTGTTTTTGTAAGTAACATGTTGGACAATTAGTTGCTGTTAATGTTCAGTTGATCAATAGCAAGAGGCATCATCTTGAATCTTGGTCAAAGTAATAGCTTAGGAAATTGTTTTCCTTTTCTATTCCACATCTAGAGAAGAGATTCATCTCTGTCCTGACCTAAGTACAGAAGCATATTGAATGAATAATTTTGCTATCCGGGAGAAGTTATGGCAACATTAGAAACACAAAGAAAACCTGAAAACAAAAAATTATGCTAAAACTAACAGAAACAAGCCACAGGAATCACTAACCGGTGGTCCAAGTTCAGGGGGAATGATTATCCTTCTCTTCCCCCCAGGCCTCATATCCTGAATTCCTTCCTCAAATCCTGCATATGTACAGTAAATTGTTTATGTTTTGTAGGGGAGAGAACTTCCCATATCAGATGGCCATGAAGAAAGGAATGCCAGATTTATAATCTTCTCACCTGGAACCACTGCATTAGTTCCCAAGCGGATTCTGGCAGGAGAACCCTGTAAATAGGTGCTATCAATACGCCGGCCTGACTCATTATAACCAATGTAGTGAAAAGTGACCTGAAATTTTTTTCTAGTTAGGAGGAGGCATAAATCAATATAGCAGTAATATTGCTAATTCCAAATTTTCTTATACTATATAATGTAGCTGTAATAGCAAAACATGCTATAAGAGTAAGAATATCATATAAATTTCTCAATTTCATAGCTCAAGACTAAATGTTTTGGAAGTAAATGTCTGATTGTGATTTTATGCCTTTAAATAGGTTTGTTATTGTCTTTGAATTCATATATTGTCTTTGAATTCATACTGATAACATTTGCTGGCTACAAAAGATTCTCTGGTCAGCAAAATGAAGCCACTGTGGACTTAAACATGTTTTTGGAGGAATGTCAAAGCAAGAAGCTTTCTCTTAATGATACAAACTTACTACAAATGCAGCCAATCATGTTGAGGTTGGTACTAGTTCCATCAAATGGTAAAAATTAATTGTAATACCCCAGGGCTAATAATTTCCTTTCTGTATATTGACAAAAATGTCAAACATGTTTCACAAATTGCACTTGTTTTCCCAACATAACTTCTGTATTGTTTATACCAAAAAGGAAAGGAACAGATTGTTCAAAGTCAACAAAAGAAAAAACCTGTTGACCAGCCTTTGGGCAATCACCTTTACCAACTTCATAATCCCGGTATATAAGCCCTGAATCACTCTTTATGTAATCCTCTGAAGTCACAACCTTAACCTCAAAACCTGAATCAAATGTTTACTATTAGTGGTGGTTAGAGGAATTTATAGATGGTTTACAATGACTGACACTAATAGTCAGAAATCTCTTTTCTCCTGCCCTCCTTAGATCCCTCAAGAGAGAAAGAGAGAATGATAGATGACTAAAAAATCACAGATATGCAAATCAGAAAGAGTATTTGGATTCATAACAGGTAGAATACTTGTAGTTGGTGTTCATCCTGGTAGATATTACAAGACAGTTTGACTTTCTATCATTGCAACACAAACCTTCTCTAATGAAATTTGGAAAGTCTTCAGGAGCATTGTTCTCTTTCTGTCTTCGTTTATTCTGTTCTAGCAAGCGTTTCTCATCATAGGGATTCTTACTCTTGGTCTTTCCGGAAGAAGACAAGGTTGGAGACAAGCCTGATGAGACCAAAATGAAAAGAAGAAACCTACGGCTCAAGTTTTTCTCCTGATGTGATACAAATCTGTTCCGTACTCTGGCCATAAACAAAATGCTGAAGGTGAGGACCTAAGCAATCTTTAAAACAAAGGAAAAAAAGAGATGATAACAACTGACTCACCCGTTATCTTTTAAGCTATGATTCAAGCAGCAAAATGCATTTTTCTTCCTTTGCGTGGAAAAAGTTCCTACCCTGGAACATGCTGAAATGTAATATGTCAAAAAATACGAAACTAGATATACTAATATTTTAATACGTATAAAATAGAACATATCTAAATTCATTGTTTGATTGAGAAAAGAAGTTCTTGAAAGATATAACAAGCATCTTAATCTAAGAGTTGTCAAAATCCAATGTAGGTAGTTCAAAGTTCAATCACAACTGAAGAGGTTCAAATAGGCACCACCAGAAACTAGTTGTATGCTACATAAATAAGAAATTCAAATCAATAAACGCAGTAATATTATGGTTAAGGACTGATAAATCACTTGTACGTATTCGGATTGTGAAAAGGTTAATCAAAATACGTTGGTTCTCCAAGCACCTTGGAATAGAGTGCCCAAAAAAAAAAAATCCAATTTCAACAAAAGAATTCTAATGGAAGTTGCCCAACTAATTTCACTGTTAAAAATTTGCTTCTGAGACTACGGAGCTGTACCCAGGCACGTTGAATCGTTAAGTTATTATCAACAGCGGCATGGGTTTTCTTTCTAGAATCACTTCAGGGGCTAAGCATTTTCCACTTAACTCGCCAACCCAAGTTCTTCATATTCCATGCCATTAAAGGATAGAAAGAACTAAGAATTGAGGGGGAGATATTTAAAAGGGCAAATTAGAAACACCCAGAAACAGAAAGCAAAATCTGTTCGAAGAACAACGTGTACAATCGCATCTTTCACGGACATGGTTGAAAAGATCTGTAAATGTAAATGTTTGTCAGAGAAAAAGAAAAGGGACTTACAGAGAAATGATGGCTCAAACAGAAGAGGAGTTGAGAGAATCATTGGGATGGCTTCTTTTCCAGTCTGGAATAGCCGTTGGCCGTTCCTCTTTATCAGTCTTATGTTATCCTCGGTTGAGGGTAAAATGTCAAAATATCATATCACGCCCTTCCGTTTCTTAATATTTCTCCTTCATCCCAAAAGGTTTATTATTATGTTCGATTTAGTACGTTTTCTTGTTTTAGGCTTTTTCAAGGTGAAATGTGAATTTTTAATAGACATTTTGAGTTTGATTCTCAATGTTAAATCAATCAGCTGAGTTCGATTACATTTGAGCACATGTTCAATATTCTTCGTGATATTTGGAAAGACACAGGAAATTACCATAATGGTTCGCGTTAGCATTACATTTGCAATACTGTAAGAAAGCTGCAGCTCTTATCGATATTTGACTGGATTTGATGAGGAACATGGCAAACTGGTAACTGTGCATACACAAGCATGCATGTGCAGGGGAAGAAGCAGATCAACAAGTATTAAAACATCTTGAAGAAACCATGTACAAACTTGGAAATCTTTCCACATCTAAACGACTAAACTTGCAGTACAATTGAACCTTTTCATGAAGTACCATGCCTACCAAGATACAAATGCTTCCTCAATCTCTATGCTTCTGGAAAGAAAGGAAAACTAAACTTGCTCTCTATCTGTTCCACGACGTCTCAACTTGAGTTATACATGAATGATAATAAACTTCATTCTCTGTATAACCCAACCAAAAATGAAATAACACAAAAACACAACGCATTGGGAAAAAAAATTCAGATTAACAACTTGATTTAATATAAAAAATTCAATAAACCCGGATGCCAATACCAAGACTGCTCAACGGACCAGGCTTCCTAGATGTCTTCTGATCCACATGGCAACGAAGCCATAAGCATGAAAGTCTGGCAATAGCTGCCTGACTAGCAAATTGAAACCTGTCAGCCAGGCTTCCCTCTCCGAAAATCTCTTTAGCGGGCAAACCTGCGTCAAAGCTAGCGTCATATCCATCAAGGTCTGACTCTGTTACAACAACTACAGAGCCATCATCAAAGGCTGCTGCATCCTGTTTTGCTGGGAGAATGAGGGTGGTTTTCTTTACTATCATGCAGCAAGGGTTTCTAGGGATTCCATTATTTTTCACCTTGTGAAGATAGTAGTCTTGAACAGCCTACATTAACAGATCTAGATAATATGAGCCTAGGAAGAACAAAAACATTCATACCACAAGTACCAAAAATTATCTGCCAATTCAATAAGCACCAAACAAGAGTTGAATAAACCCCATAGGGCATACCTGCTGCTGTTTAGGTGCCAGAAGTACCCTGGGTCTGATAGATCTGACATATTCATAGGCCGCATCAGGTGTCATATGCCTATGTTCCACCTGTTATAATTGAAAAAAAAAAAGATAAGATTAATTCATAAAGTAAGTCAGAGATAATTAATTTTAGCTTTTTAATCAGTGCATACCAGGTAGCACAGAACAATGGTTGTGCTGCGTCCTCGACCAGCCTTGCAGTGAACATATGTGGTCTTTCCTAGAGATGCATTCTCTTCATAAAGAACCAAAAATAAGTAAATGTGTAACCAGAAAAGTTGCACTTGACAAACAATAAAAACAAATGCATACCACGTATGAAATCTACAGCAAGGCATATATCAGCAAATGATGGTGCAAAAAGATAGTCTGTTGTAGGAATCACCAAATGATCAATGTTGTGAGCCTACCGGGGAAAGAGAACAAAAAATAATGAATATTAGAGCTCATATCTATGACAGAAAATAATCGTTTCTTAGCATGAAGGTAACAGGCAGCAGTTCTAAAATTCTATTTCATTGAAAGAACCATTGGCCTTCTTAGCATGGGCATTGGAGATAAAAAAACATTCCATTCATTCTACTGTTCATAGCATAGCTAAAACATGCACTGAGTACCTTGAAAGTAAAGATGAAAAGGTTCAGCTTAAAGGACTTCTGCTTCCACATCTGAAATTCCCACTCACTAAAAGATTGCTCACTTTATGCAACTTTCAAGTCCAAGTAGGTACATTTTTAATAAAACCAGTATTACCTAAAGTTCAATGATTATTTATTTCAACAATTTATTCTATATCTACAGAATCAGTGTAGATGCTACCAACATAACATTAAAACAGCAAGAAGCATACTCACATCATACAGCGATGTTGGGACCAAAGTCTCGTATGGTTCGTTTAAGGTCACAACTCCAGAAACACCGAGATCCTTCAAAAGGGGAATATCAGCAGGGAAAGGCACAGCACCTAACAAAATAAACTGAATCCGAGGCAAAGTGAACTAAACAAGAGGATTTAACAGATAACCATAAAGCAATAAGAACAACAACATGCATTGCATCATCAGCAATATTAATAATCAAGCGAAATTCCATACTATATCTATGAGTGCTGGCAAACCAAACAACTAGGATTCCAGAAAAACTAAGCTGACATTCAAGCTTAGACAGTAAGATTATAAGGATATCGAAGCATGCCTTGTTAATAGACAATAAAATATCTAAATGCTGATGGGATTTAAATTAGAAAAAGAGATCATCAGATGAATTACAAGAAAAAACAGATCATTAATATAGAAATTCCTATTCCCTCCTCCCCTCCCTTGCCCAATAGTTACCATAATATTGCTTATTGCAACAACAAAATCACCTTTACAATTCATAGTTTTAAGGCATAATTCATTATATTAATATGTCAAAATCTAACATCAAAGGGAAAACATAGCAGTCAAAGACAATTGCACCAAAAAAGGCTAATAAGTTAGTGTTATACCTCATCAACTCTATCCCACCACCTAAACTCAGACTGAATCTTGTTCCTGACAACATTGTATAACAAAGTCGGATAAAAGAGAGCACGTGCTCCTGCTCCCACCAAAACCCTTTTTGCATCCCAAACAACAAGGCTCTCTCCACACGATTGAATCTGATCTTGATCTTGCTGTTCCCCTTCATTCAGTTCTTCAATATACATCTCTTTTTTCTCTCAATTCACCAAAATACACAAATAAAAGGGAAAAAAATCACCCCTAAACCATTAAAACACACATAGCACAACACAAATTAACAGGGAAAATAGTACCCTTTAATCTTAATTACTCAGAACTGGAATCTGGGACAAGAATAACATGGAAATCAACGAAAAACAAGAACACCCATCAACTAAAACCTTAAACCCTTAAAGTATACATAACACAACTCAAATTAACGGGGAAAAAAGTACCCTTTAATCTTAATTACCCAGAGCTGGAGTCTAGAACAAGAATAACATGGAAATCAACGAAAAACAAGAATACCCATCAACTAAACCAGATGAAGACTGCAATCAGACCTCGACACCAAATCTGACCATGAAAAGCTGAAAACATGTTTGACCTGAAACTATGCATGATCTATCTGAAAATTATGAGAAAAGAAAGAAAAAAATGAAATGAAATTTTGGAGGGGATGTAAAGAAAAGATATATGCGCAGAGAATCCGAAATTGAAGGATTTAAAGGACAAAGCTTTAATTTTGGCCCTTTTCTTGCAGAGTCAGTTTCTCTTTCTTCTCGCTTTCCCTTTCTTCAACAAACTCTTGAAAACGAAGGTTAAATACCGCTGCGTTATTTATAGTTGTAAACTATAATTAATTTCTTTTATGTTATCAAATTTGTAATAAAGTGTAATTAATTTCGAATCTTTCCCTTGCTTTTTTTAAGTAATTGTTATTGTAATAAAATTAACTCTCAATCTTCAATTTGACTTTTTATTAATGCTAGTTGATATTTTTCCTTATAAAAATTAACCTAAATGTAGTTAAAAATTTTTAAAATATTTTAAGAAATAAAAAACAATCTATTTAAAAAAATATAAATTTTAAATTAAAAACTTATTTAACTTCAATAAAAATATAAAAAATAACAATTTACTTCAATAGATTTAAATTAATATTATAAATGATACTTAAATTATAATCAAATATTTAATATAATATCTAAATTTTTAAAAATTTTAACATAGTTAAATTATAATTTATTAATTAATGTAATATATATTTTTAATATAACTGACTTTAAATAATAGTACATAAAATTTAAATATCACATAATCTTTTAAATATTATATTATTTAAAAATTTTATAATTTAAATAATATATTAATTTTTTAAAAAATTTTAATACTATATTAAATCTTATATCATAATTTAAAAATTATTCATAATATTAACATTTTTCATTTTTATTATTTTGATTTTGAAAATAAAAAAATTTACTACGATAACATCACAAAATCGATTAATAAAATGACATAAGAAAAATCATGTATAAATTTAATGTAATCATATTTTGTATCTTAATCGTATAGATACGGTTAAGACACGATATTATTTGTATCATATTTGTGTCAAACAATAATGACACGTTTAATATACGATATTATTCATAATATAAAAATATTTTAATTTATTTTAATTTATTTAAAAAATAAATTAATAATCGTATTTATCATATCATTTTAATGTTTAAATAAATTATAAATATTTACTTTTTAAATAATTTTTTATCTAAATACTAAATTAAATGATTTTTTTGGTTAGATAAATGAATTAGTCATATCTAATCGTATTATTTATATATAAACATGTTAATCAAGTCATATCGTATCATATTATTTAAATAATTAATTATATCTAATCGTGTTATTTATATATAATCATGTTAATTGAGTCATATCGTGTTGTGTTATGTTAATTGAGTATAAATTAATTTTAAATACATTAATTATTTTGTGTCACGTATAATATATATAATAAATGTATCATATTTATATTTAAATTATTTATATATTTATATCATATTTATATCATTATTATTTATATTATGTCTAAAATTATATCTGATACGAAATATACGACGTGAGAATTGATATGATTAAGCTCGTTAACCAATAGTAAATGTCAGGATATTTGTAGTAATTTTTAATTTCGTAATAACTGGATCGGTGACAAAGTAGTTGACGTATATAGATATACTGTAGTGCACAAAAATACACACAACTTTTTTTTTCTTTTTCCTTCTAAGGGATATAAATGTGTCAGGCAAGTCAAATAATAATTGGTATATTATACTTAGTTTTTTTTTTTTTTTTTTATGTTCTGGACCAAACTTATTATTCAAGGATAATATAATGAATTTATTTATTTATTTATATTGTGGCGATAGTTGGTATGAATTTAGAACACATTATTGGTAAAACGAATATTAATATACAATGATGTTGATCGTCGGCTATTTGGAAAAAAGTCAGTAGAATAGTATCATCAAGCATGGCATGGACCTCAAACAGAATAATTATACTGTTTCACAGTTCACATATGAACTATGGTGTTCACAAATATATATATATATATATATAAACTGTGGGGCAAAAATATTTTCAGAACTCGATGAGGCCAACAGATTTGTTCACGAGTTCTCGACAGAAGCTGGAGCCCTGAAAGTTGAAACGTTTCAAATAGATGAAAGATTCTGGTTAGGGTGATTGGTGGGTTATTCGGTTCACCTCTCTTTCAGCTGAAGGATGATTTGGTGATGTCCTGCTTTTACCATGCATGCTTTTGCATACGTATGGAGATGCCTTTTACATTCACCAGTAGGAAGAATCTATTCATAACTGCCCCTATTGCTTCAATTCATAAAAAAGATCTAGTCATTTAAACAAATGAAGATTTTCCGCGTGAGTGATTGTGATCTGTATCTAAATTCAACTCCGTTGAAAAGTTGACAAGATCGAATTCTGAATGAGATGCATATCTCAAAGCTAAGCACATAATTCTAATTTCTTAAGCACAAAATCACAGTTCTCTGGCATATTGATTGAGACATGTTTGTAACTATACATCTTCAATCTCACACCGATCCGTAAATCAAAGGAAATATCAAAAGGTTGATGAAGTAAAAGTCAATGATGTCCAGCTTTTGAATGAATTGTCCACAACAGGTTCTCACTATGCCAGGACTAAGGATGAAGAATCCTCAATTTCTGAAGAGGGATCTTTTGTTAGAAATTTACAGCTGTATACTGCAGCTATTTTCACCTGAAAATGTTAACAGTGATGTTGAGTCCTCTCGTTGCATCAATCGATGTCTTTCTTTGAAGCCTAATCTGCTCTCTGGACTTGCTATGAACTCACCAGCCTTACTATCAACCTCGTACATATCACTTCCTGCTACACTGAAAGTACCAGACAGGGTTCTTCATCTGAGCCTACTTGGAAATCCTCGTTCTCTTTCCTAGTCTTCTCCAGACACTACAGCAGAATTCTCTGAACACTCTTGTTTTTCTCTGTTCTGTTTTTCAAAAGATGCTGGCTTTGGCATATTATAAGAGTCACCTCCAAGATTCTGCCTATTGAACCCCAACAGAGAGATTATTATGTCCTTAATTTTTGGTTCACTTTCATGAGTTCCATCCGTGTAAGTCTTTTCGATTCCGATTGATTGATTGAAGAAAGGAGGACTTTGAAAGTTGAAACCAAGGGAAATAGTTTGGTTACAAAGAGATTGAAGTTTGGACAGAAAGAGAGCCGAATTCAAAAGTATGATCATTATTATTATTGTAATAATTGTCTTGATCGTTGAAGTAAATGACCAAACTGGCCTTCCGCAGGACGTTGCATCGTCGCTCCGCGATTTGTGGGAAAAATAAAAACGGTTACCCTTTGGAGTCAAAAGGCCTCAAACGACGCCGTTCATACGGACAAAAAATTTTCCGGCGAAATTTAGTTTGGCAGGTCTTGGACTAATGAGTGAATTGGCGATGATGGCAGGAGCAGAGAAATTTGTGGAAGCTGATAATGCAGAGGCTATAATAACAAGAATCGAGCACAAATCGAGGAAGATCGAGAGCTTACTTAAACAGTAAGAATTTCTAATCCAAATCAAAATGTCCCAATCTTTTATTTTTGAAAAAAGAAACCTTAATTAAGCAGGATTGATTTGTTCCTATCTCTGGAATAAACCCATTAAAGCTCTTAAAACTGCGCTCGAGGGCTCTCCTCCTATGACCCGAGACGAGCGATGCGAGGTTTCGAACAAAAATAGAAACTTTATTTTTCAATTTCTTTTTTATTTACTTATAAAAAGAATTAAATTTTTTTGGTTTTTGCATTTGGGCTTTGCAGTCTGCAAATTGGATAGTTGTGCATAGAACATTAATGGCTATCAAAGATGTTGAAGGAATGTTCTCTTCTTTGGATCCCGAGTACTATGATGTTCTTATGAAGTGAGTCTCTCTTCTTTTTTATCTTTTTTTTTTTTTCAGCTTTAAATGCATTTCTTATATATATATATATATATTATATATTTATATTTATATGTTTTATTCCCAATTATGCATATGATTTTTATGATCTCCGTCAAAAACATTAATGTCTATTCCCTCTTTCTGATTGCAAATGATATGAGTCCAATTTCCTACCCTTTACAGCTTTCTTAATATAGCTGAATTTTAATGCTGCTATGGTCTCAAACAAGGCTGTACTCAGCAGCAAAATACGATCAAACTACTAAGCAAACATAGAAACACATAGACCCTAAGCAGAACACAAAGACTTATTCATAGGGTCTCTTGCGATGTTTTTAAACCAGGCTAAAAGAGATCGAATTATGTTTGTAATTGAGCAAAATAAAATCTGGTCTGATCTGCTTAATACTCCATGGAGTCTCTTGTTATGGTTTTACATTTTTACTATTTATACTGATTAGAAGTTTGATTGTAAACCATGTTACTCGGTTTATAAAGGATGTTGCGAATGACAGATTTGCTTTCTGACTGTTTAAAAGGATTTTTGGGTCCCTTCTTTCTGATAGAGTTTGGTTATTACTATCATTGTTTCTGACAATTGCTTTCATTACAGGCACATGCTCTGTAGTTGTGTATTTGATATTGCAAATGAATAACAAGCGAAGATTGTTGTGTTATTTCTAGGTACTTATATAGAGGATTGTCAACTGGAGATCGCCCAACATGTGATCAGCCTTAGGATCCATGAGAAGCTGACAGAGAGAGCTGGTTTGGGATGCATACGTCGTTCCCTTGCAGACACTGTGAATACAGTTTGACTCTAATTGACCTTTCTCTTTGAAAAATATGCATTCTAGAAAGGTTTGGCATTTTCCCTTGATTATTACACATGTATGTGAAATACATATTTTGTTTCTTGGCTGCAATTATCGTAATTCTTTTTGTCAAGTCCTGCTGTTACCTTGAAATGAAAGTAAAAATAGTGAGGTATTATCACTACAATTTTGAAGCCTAAACAAATTCAAATTGAAGAATGATTGGAGATGCCAGCGATAGTTTATAATAATTCTCATATATGGCATTTCAAGTTGGGGTAATCGGAGCTGTTTAATTATCGAATCATATTACCTGCTAATCAGCTGTTTTCCTCTCTCTGTTTACTGTATTTTTTCCCTTTTACCATAACAATCTTGTTACTTATTCATTCCTAGGAAGAAATTGTAAGAAAAGAGAGTTTGAGATACTAACAAAAGGCTTCAAGTTTATATGTCTATTACTGTTATATTCCAGGCATGAGCATATATATTGTTTTTATCTAGGTGTCCTCTTTCTTATTTTGTTTTTTACTCGGAAATATTTGTTTGTTTCTTGCTTGTTCGTGTTCACTATGGAAATCTTTTTAGCATGCTGGATGTCTTAAACATAGCTGAAACTCAACCAAAAAGGTATGTAGAACTTAATTGTAACGCTTAATTTGAGGAGCTTTGGCAAAGGCAGTAGAGATAATAGAGTGAAGGTCTTATCTATGAATTAATTTTTATTTTTTTATAGGACTAATAATGATAAAAGTAGTTGCTCATTGTTGAAACTTACCGCATTATTGAGGACTTCGTTCCAAACGCAGTTATTAGCGCATTGAATGCTTTTCTTAAAGTTGTTTTCACCACAAAAACAGCTCCATTTAGGAACTTGAAAATAACTAAATGCAACGAATCCCCACAGGATCCTCGTGTTGTTTTTCAATCCTGAAAAGAGTAAAGAGGAATGAATTATAGCTATTGCCTATTGGAAGCTTCTGCTGCCAAACTGCTGTTACTCTCTTTTACTTTTGGGCTTAAAGCAGTACTTCTGAGATTATAATTTGTGGCTAAGAACTTCTAGCACGCCTATACATCCGTATACCTTGCTTCTTTAAGGGATTAGGCCCGTTCTAATTTACTCACTCTTTTATGAACCATTTAATGGACAATGTTCACTTAAATTCTCTGGTTTTGTTTCGACAATTAATTTGTTTATGTAAAAGAGGAAAGGAACTGAAAAAAATCAACTGTACAGTTTTGGTTTAGTGCTTTTCCTAGAAACTATTCAAGGGGTTGAATGACGTTAAAAATCATTTTAGGAATTTGTCAGATTTGCTGTGCGTCCTTTGAAGTTAACTGCCAAAATCCTGCAGTCCTTGTTGCAACGAATTCGACAAAATAGTAGACAAAAGTCGGAATCCGATCAAAGCTATTTGTACAACCATTCACAAGGAAAAAGCCACCAATAAGTTATAAAGGATAAACAAAACCATCTTCCCATATCTTTATTATTCCTTCATTAGAGTCTGTAGATGTTGTCCACCTCCTTTCATTTCTACTTCTCACTTCGCCCACAATCAGATCACAACAATATAACCGAAAGGGATTCAGATTCTTCTGTTATATTTCCTTATCTCCTGCTTTATCTAGTCCAACAGGAAACAAGGCTTGAAAAAAATAGTAATGGTATCCCGCCAAAAATATTCTCCCATTTGAGAACATAACTATCCTAATTATGATCTAGATGCAGGGGCATTGAAGGGTCGATGACTAATTGGCAGTGCTGCCCAGGGACTAACAGGCACTGGACGTTGATGGCTGGAACTCATCTGGTGACGGTTTGGAACTGCTGAAGTGGGGGTGGAGGAAGCAGCTGCGGCAGAGGACGATGATGAAGAAACCGACGCACGTTCACAGGAAGGACACATGGTGAGAGTTGTGGGAGGATTCATGTGCAGGTAGAGCTGTGGGGAGAGTTTTAATGCTCTAAGTTCTTGCACTTCCTTCTGCAGCCTCCTGTTCTCCTCTCTTAGATTCTCGCAACATCTCTTTAGATACTCACAGTCAACTTCCGTCTGCTTAAACTTTGTCCTGCACCAATTCAATTCCATGCATTGAGATTTTATTCGGATTTTTTTTTATGTTACAAGCTCCCATAGACATCCATTACTGCTAAATAACCAGAAAATGTAACGCTAGACAACAAGAATTACTTGGCAAATCTTTTTGACATTTTCTTTGCTTAAACTCTAGAATTGCAGTATCTTTTTTCGTTCATTTAATTAGCAACTGAACAAAATCTTCACCTGCTGGAGCTGCTCTAAACCCAAGCACCTAGTGAATCTAAAGATTTGACATCAGGTCATTAGGCTGACACTTTTTTTTCTTTCATCTAAAATCCAAATCCAATCCAATAAGATGCACCCTTGGAAAATGTCAAAAAAACAGAAGTCTTAAAGATGCTCATTAATCACTTCCCCTCAAAAACCAATAGATGAGTTAAAATATGAAGCTTTGACAGCAACCGCAGAATCCCTTGAAATCTTCTCTAGCAGAAAGCGACAACTCTATCCTTCTCAAGACATTAATAAGGGTGTTTAAAACTTGAAAATGCTTGATCGCCCTTTCATCGAGTCCCAAAAATACCCTTAACAAACTTTAAAAGTATCTCACCTTGCCCTTCTGTTCTGGAACCAAACTTCCACTTGCCTAGGCCTCAGATTCAATTGCTTTGCCAATGCCAACTTTTGCTTCTGTACATAACACAAGACCAACATTACCCTTAAACCGCAAATTCTGAAACTACTCTTTCAAAAGATGTCAATGACTGAAATGCCACTAACCGTATTAAGAGTGCTATGTTCCTTGAAGTTTTCTTCAAGCACCAACGACTGTTCCTTTGAAAGCCTAAGCTTCTTCTTTGAGGCATCGCCAGCAGCACCATCTTCGTCATCACAAGCTAAAGAGCAAGACGCTCTCTCAGCCTCAGTTTCATCACTCACAGGGTCTCTCTCATTTCTCTTTCCACTTATGCTAGAAACGGTGCTGTTGGGCGACGACAACCCACCTTCCTCCTCGCAATCAACCATTGCTGGTGCCTGGTTCACATCAATTCCTCCAAGAAATGATCTTGCATCCAAGTGTCGATCTGCATGCACGTTATGAATCACAAAACTCATTTCATCAACCTGATAAGTTAGCTTTATCTAAATGGCAGCTTCGTAATTACAATAAAACAAATGGCTATTTGTGAATATTGTGTTGCTTACGAACTGTGACACGACAAAATCAATAGGCAATGTAACGCTGACCGGTTCTTTTAGCCTTCTTTATTTACAGTTTACCAAATATTGAAAATTTAAGATTATTTTAACTCTAAAAAGGACAGAAATCACCGCGGTAAATGTATGTGATGTGCAAGACAAAAATTGAAAGAAATGATAAAACATCAGATCTGAATGTAAAATAGTACTGATTTTCTTCTAGATTTAGGACTTCATGTTACTAAAAAATAGGAAAAGTATAAAAGGTTAGTCATAAAAACAGGAGTGAAATACGACAACCCCGTATGCTGTTGCAGGTAATGAGAACTACACAAATTTCGCGATTACAAAATCACCCTAGATTAACACATTTTATTCTTCAAATTAAACCATTTTTTTATTCCAAAAGAAATCAAGAAACAAAGGTGTCAAAGGATAAAAACATACCAGAAGACTGAAACAGCTCATTCCAACTGTTCTTCTGCTGAACATTTTGCATGCGGGTTGAAGCTAAAGGTGTGAGATTTAACTTCAAAGAAGGCTGATTTTGAGCACATCCCAAGCTCAAACGCAACCCCAAACCATCATCTTTATCACCCATCTCCTATTCTTTGTTTTTCTCTCTCTTGTCCTTTAAAACCAACAAAACACTCACTTTTCCAAAGTAAAACCAAACAAAGTTCTCAAACTTTCACCCTCTCCTTTCTGGGTTTTCTCCCATGTGTTTGGATTCTGAGAATAACAAAACAGTAGAAAATAGGGGTAGAAAAAGGCTGGGAGCCGGAGGTGTCTAACAGCCTTTTGCTTTTGGTTCAGCAGAACAGTGAAAGGATGGGACTATATATAGAGAATATAAACAAAGACAGATGGGTATAGATTCAATCATGACTTATGTCAGTGACCATTCTGTCTCAATCATGATTGTAAGGCTTTTTCCTTGGCTTAGCTTGCAATTGCATGAATTAACTCAACTCTAGTTTAATTCCTTTTTAACCATGATTCAGTTTTAACCGTGGGTTTAGACAGTAAGTACATCACTTTTAAGTCGTAAGTAATAACTGAGATCCCAATTAATGTCAAGTCCTTTTAACCGCGGTTAGGTCTTGTCTGGGGAGGGATTTTTTTTTTTTTGTATTATTAACTTTGATTAAAAAGCGGCTTTTTCGCTTGACCGTTGAAAAATGGAACAGCAAAAGCTGCTGCAACCCCCACACTCTGCAGCCACGCGCTTGAAAATCATCGAATCATGATGGAAACACTGTCAGCAATCTCTTATCCTACCCTCCAGGTGGGGCCCATAAGATGTTCATCGTTGGGTCCCATGCGTGGTTTTTTGACAGAACATTAAATCACGAGGCAAATGAATTGCGGGCCCGCAGATTGTCTGAAGGCGCGTGTGCTAATTTGGCACTGCGCTGAATGTGATTATAGAAGGGGATTTGGTTTGTGTTGAAGGATAGGTTACAGAGTTGGGAGTTACCTTCCATGGAAACCATGCAATACAAATGCCGTTCACACAAACTCAAATCATTAATATCCCATTAATATACTTAAAATTTTGCTTTTGTTTGAATGAGTTATGAGTCCAAAACTCATAACTAATGCATTCAAATTATGTTAATTAAAGATAATAAATTAATGTTACATTAGCTTCTATGTTTTAATTAATAATATTAATATAATTTTAATTTTTATATTATTATCACCATTATATCCTTACATCAAATCGTTCATTGGGTCCTCTCAAATAGTAAAAAAAAAAAAAAAACAGATAATTGCATAAAACTTTACTTGAGTAATTCTAATTAATCTACCAACTAGTGTGATTACCAATTCAATTGAATGGCCAAGATGGGTATAATTCATTGAATAAAAGGGAAATGCAATAGTATACTGTTATGTGCTCTAGATTATTGTTAACATTTTGCACAACAAATACATGCCAAATTCAAGAGTATATTAACAATGCTAAAATAAATAAGGTAATTTCTAAAAATAAGTTTATAATTACATGTTTCTGTCAAGGACAGAAACCGAACCTTTTCTCGTATATATAAAAGATTCTCTAATGATATCACAAATTATAAGATAATATAATTCTTTATATATTGTATTACGGTAACTAACTAAGTGGCAACACTAAAGCTGCTCCTGGGGAGATTAGAGCCATAGGAAGCTGCCTCGATCGTGTTCACATATGTGAAACTACATTCTTTGGTGAGGTCTAATTAATAGGGACCAACTGACCAAAGTAATCATGATATGATGAGGTCCTTCGTCCTTGAGAGTTGGGACCTTTTGCCCAACTGGGAGGCCCATTCGAAAGATACAAGTGCTTGAGGGTTGATGCGGCTCGAATTTCGATTATAATTTCGAAATATCGGATGCCTGGTCAATATTTAGTTATTTATTAAAAAAAAAAGTTAACATGGATTTTTTTTAAAATAAAAACTCCAAGAAATTTATTAAAAGGCAATTAACAACTTTGCCAGGTTGAAGGTAGAAGTTCTAGGTGGTTATCCACACTATTAAATAACCTTTTTGAAAAGATATATTGTTTATAACTGAGACAACTAAAAGCATATATAATTGTAATAAACACAATAAAATCTCTCAAACCAGAAAGTTTGTCAAATGCCACAATTCAATTCAAAAATTAAAAAAGTGTGAGACTCCTATACCCAGATTTTTTTTTTTTTTATAAGAGAAATTATCCCTGTTAAATAGGAAAATATGTGTGGAGATAGAAGAAAAAAATTTATTCAACAATATGCCTGAAATACACATTTTGAAGTAAAAAAATTTCATGCTTCGCTCTTGTATATATAAATAAGGATTCATTTATATTAATGTAAGAGTTATAAATTTATATTAATTATAATTAATATATAATTCTTATTATAAAGTAAGTGAATCCTCCTTATAAATGTGTGACAAAATTAATTTTTATTATTTTTATTATTATTATCAAGTTAAAGGTTGGTCTTCCAGTCTATATTAATATACATGCATGTAAATGTTACCCAGAGTCGTACCGACCAAATCTTGTAAAAATCTTCCAAGTCTGACATGTAATCACATCTCATGCATGGTTAATTCCTTTTTGAATCTGGTCGACAACAGGATCCCTCCAACAAGCAATTGAGATAAGCTTATGATATTAGCACTAAACTTCATCATGCTTTGCTTCTGCTTCAATCAAATCTAAGGCAAGAAAATATATAAGTACTACGGATACATAATCATAACGACCGCTTATATTTATCCTTAATGATTTATATGTTGATTTCTATCTTTGTATTTTCTTATAAAAATTTAAATTTTGCTTTTTTTTATAAAAAAATAATAATTTAAACATAAAAAATTACAAATAATCATAAAATGATTATGATTCAAATTTTAACAATCATAATTATAAATATTAAAATTTAAATATAAAGTTATTAAATATCAATTTTAAGAGTCAATTACGTCTAATTTTCTTTTCATGCAGTGCAGTAAGTTTTCAAGACTCGAATACTAGTATGAATTTTTGGTTGTGTTTTTAGCATCGGCTTGGCTTGCGCCTAGGGTGAGCTTTGAGTGAATTAGAGAAAGAGTTGAAAATTGGGAACTTAAATATGTGGGGCTGAACTGAGAAAAGAGTGAAGGGCACGTGGGAGAGATGCATGAATTCACGTGCACAATCTTGTGGATAAGCTGCCACGTGTCAGCATATGGTCCCATGATAGCACTCGTGCGTGTCACTTTGCCTCTCCACAACCAGACACCCACTTGTCTACAATCATTGGATACTTTCTCTTCTTTCCGGGATTTCATGCTTTCCCAAGTCAGCTTCCAATTTTCACGCGCCAACTAATCTACCCCTATTTCTTACACGCGCCTTGCCATTCCCAACTTGCATGCAGCGGAGAAAATTTAGGTAAATTTACTAAAAGTTTTCACATAAATTTTACCTTAAGTAAGTCTGAATTAAAATTTGATTACAAATTATATTTTTAATAATTATTTTGAGATATTAATAAATTTTTTTTAATTTATCAATTTATAAGTTTTGATTTTTAAAATAAACTTTTCTATAATCATTTTTAATAAAAATTTCATAAAAAAATTGTTATCTAAATTTTGTAATGACTCCTAATCAATTAGAATAAAAGTTGATAATTTTTTTTAAATATGATAAATAATATTTCATTATTTGAATTTAATTCTTATGACTATCTCAATTAAAGATGCATTTTTTATATCGTAAAATTATGATTTTACTTTTAAAATATTTTTACAAATATTGAATCCTCGTTTATAATAAAAAATAAATAAAAGTGTTCTCTCTTTTATTGGTTGCATTAACCTTGCAACTTTTGTAAGTAAATTTTGATAATCCTGTGATACAAAAGCGCTTGACATGTTTTAGAAAAAATAAATAAAACTTTAGACTGTGGATACTATCGCATTAACCATGAAACAATGATATCTTTTATAGACATTTGGCTATAATTAACATGATTGATGAAGTGAGCTCAATTTGTGGGGCTTGCAATTTGGCATAATGATTTGAGGAAGAGGGAGATTGTCGGTTAAATTATTAAGTTAGCCTCACGTGTGCTTAGGATCTCAACAAGCTGTCCCACGTGCTGTGGATTCCACCACCAGCCCACTGTTCCCCACCATGCACCGTCTCCGGCTCGTACGAAATGGCTCTCCCACATGATTTGGTCCAAAATCCAAACCCCATTTTTTGGCAAACAAGTGATGAACAAGGCCCTTTCGTCCTGGATTCACGATCAAAATAAAATCATTAACATTTGTATCATTAGAATAATAAATAAAGAAAGCTGTTCAAAAGCTTATGCTTTTATTTTACTTACATGGCTCCATATTTCCTTGTTGTCTGTGTTACTCAAACTTTACTGGCCTAGGTTGTTCTTGCTGACTCCATATTATCAAGGATCATTTGTTAGCATCAGAATCAAAATCAGAATCGTGTAACTTCAAACTCTCTGGCAAGGGCCATAGCAATTATGATGTTTTGTAAACAGGAGCGCGTTAGCAATGATAACACCATCGATGAAGACCTTAACTTATGCTTATCTTTTTTACATGTTGCTCTTATCATTATATCATCATCATGGATTTTTATTACTTTAACGTCGGGTCGACCAAGTGATGTGTTCTCTTTGTGGTTTAATTATTTTTTAGGTGGCTTAAAAAAGATGGATGTACCAGCTCGTGCTTCTTCAGTATAGCCAACAGTATGATTACCTAGCTAACCCAGCCAGAAAGGGAGGAAACTGGATTAACCTTACAATATCACTGTTTAGTCGTAGATTTTTCTCCAAAATAAAAAGGCATTTGAAAAAGAAGAGAGTTCACGTGCAAAGACCAGTGGTGCCTGCCACCTGTGAAGGTGCTTTATGTGGGGTTTGACACGTGGACGTATCGACGACTGTCATCTCATCTTGTTTCACTCCGACGGGACACATTAATCATTGGATACCCCTGCGCTCAATTAACCCTCCAAATTGCCGTACAACCCTTTTCGTTCTATTCTTAATTCTATCTTATAAGCAATTTAATGGAAGGGTCCCTTTGCTCATCCGCTCCGACCACCCCACCGTGCAGCCGATCGCCAACTCCAAAAACACACCACCATATATTGCTGTCCTCCATGTGACAAGTGTGTACCTTTATCATTTTTCATTGCCTTACTCTGTTAATTGATACTTTAACTCCAACTTGCTAACCTTTCGTTTTCTTAATACTAAGTAAGTTTTATACAGTATATAGTAATTTTTTGCCTTTCTGTTCTTTCTTACTTAGAAATAACAATCATGATGTTTTAGTAAGTTATAATAATACCAAACTCTCCATTAAACGTTTGCATTTTAGAAGTTGAAGTTTTGCATAATTGCTATGATGAATGAAATTTCATACGAAAAGATTGACATAGGAAATTTTGTTAACGTCGGAAATATTGGATAAGTGATTTTGGGGCTTGTTAGCGTCGGAATTTTTTTGCTTCAGGCCTATCTTGGCGTTTGATCATGGGCTTTAACTGAATGAATCTTTTACTTTCGTTGGGCTTCTTTGATTAGAAAGGCTACCCGTGTCTCTGCAAGGAGAAACAAAGCCACCGAATATAATGACTCGCAGTCTCAGCTACAAGGCTCGAAGTTGGTGCAACACTGAGATGATGGTAGCCTTGAACCGTTAATGATCTAAAAGATATTTCCTAGCAGCTTCATTGCATTTGCAAACCGAGAGAATACATCTATGTTAGCTTTGTAAAGAACCAGGAGACCTGAGGATATGAGTTTAGACATGTGAGACAAGTCAACCAATCTAAAAACTTCTACACAATAAGATTCAATTATCAAGGAGACAATGTTAAAAAAAAATCTGCGCTGTACACAAGCAGAGTTTTACAAGATTATCATGTCAGATATCGTTTCTGCGTTAAATATGTTTCCAACCAAATGGCAAGATGGAAAGAAAAATATAGCAGGAAGAAATTACCCCGGTTGTTAAGTACCAGCTTGTTGTATAATGTAAGAATATATGCACTCATCAACCCTTTACTTTGTTAAGGCAACCTAAGAAACATCCATAATTGAAACAAGAGGAAAAATAAGAACCTTGAAAAAGACTATAATAAAGAACCCAGTTGGCGGCAAACTTTTTGTTTCTCCTAAAACTGTTACTAGCTTTTTTTATTCTGATCCTTGAAATATTGGAGCCACATCTGCTGATCAATCCACCTCCGAAACCACCATGTTGAAAGTACACAATCAGCTGCAAGAGTGGTTGTCCTAAAGATGATGTGGTTATAAGAAAAATTATTAAAAAAACTTGATAGTCACAGAATGTAGCAATTGAAAGCTAAAAATAACTTTCATGTGAAAAATATTGAATAACCTGAAGTTGGGTCCACATATGGCTGAGGCAGAGCTGGTCGAAGCAAGTTATAATTATAGGCTGGACTAATAGAAATCACTTGCCGTGGTGGGTTTTCCCTAAGCATTGATCCAACGTTGAAGTTATACATATTATATTACGTGGTGGAGAAAAGGTCTTGTGGGGATTGAGGCTGGGATCGGACTGGCAGTGGAGGAGGAGGTGGTGGAGGTTGTGCCTCGTTGGGCCATCGCTGGCGGTTGGGCAAAACCAGAGAAAAAAAAAAAAGGGAGAAAGAAACGAATCCGCTAAGAAACTCGGAAGCCAAGGGCTTTATTGTTTCAAAGTGTGGATTTACCTTTATAGCCTTGTTAGAGGGCATTTCTAACTCAATTCGATCACGAGCCACACGACTCACAGGACACAACCAATCAAATCCACGAGGCTGAGCCAATTTTACCTTTTTTTTTAAGAAAATTAAGTTAGCCCTTTTTATTGACAGAAAAAAAATAAGTTTTGCTTATAAATTATATATGCCTGTATATAAGTATGAAAAATATATAGGAAGAGATCAACGAATTTTATAATTTTTAAAATTCGATCTTTTAAAAAAAAATTATGTACACATGAAAAAAAAAAAAAAGATTTAGCTTCATATAAGCTAAGAAAGTCAAGTTGAGTCCGCAGATAAGCATAAAGTTGTACATACATAATAATAAATCATGCTTGTATTTCTTTCTGGATAACGACTTTTAACAGGCGTTTTAAAGACAAGACCTTCCCAATTTTAATTTGCATGACATTTTTTTTATTTTTATTTTATTATATATTTAATTGAAAAAAATTATACATTAATTTTTAATTTGATTTCAAATATTAATTTAAATAATATATCAATTAATCTAAAAATTAATTGATAATTTATATGAAATTCTTGTTTGAGTATAGATATGATAACAACGATTTGGGATATTTTGGATCCTCCCAACTAATACCTAAAATTGGTAATCCATATTGTTATTTCCATTTTCTTTTAATACAAGCCAAGTCACACGTAAACGTTTTGCATGATGAACACGTGTTCCTTTTAAGATCTTTTGAACTGATTCGATTCCGTCCACATTTTTTTAGAAAACAATATTTTATCCATAATTTATGAGCAGTTTTTTTTGACAATTTGTTTTATTCATAGTACTATTTATTATTATTATATTTTTTTGGCCTGAATAATATTAAAATTTTTTATTATTTTTTAAAACTTTATTCTAATTAAACTATTCAGATGTATTAAGATTCTATTAATAATAATAAATGTGTGAAAAGCATAACTTCATAAAAATTAAATCATCAATTTGACTATATATTAGGAGGACGTTAAATTTTGAATATGGATTAAAATATTTTAATTATATATCTAAATTATAAATAATTTATATTTGATATTACTTTGAATTAATTAAAGTGAGAAAAAGATATTTGCTAAGGTTGAAATTAAAATGAACATGCTAATTTCCACTAACAACCACAATCAATAATTACATGTACTGATAAAGAGAATAAGGCTAGATTCTCAATATATAATTACAATAATGATCATTTATATCAACATGGCTGGATACTAAAAGAGAAACATGATGCCAAATTACGAGTCTATGAGCGATTCATCATTTTTGTCTTTTTTCTTTTATTTATCAAAAACAAGAAAGTAACTTACCTGTAAAAATAATTTCATAATTAAAACTTAAATTTTATAAATTTTTTGATAACATCAAATTTAAATCTTTAACACCTACCATTTTTTTAAAATTTTTTTATAAAAAATTTTAAACTCCTATTTTAAAATTTTCAAATTCAACTATTGAGATATAAATGATAACCTTTATAATATGAGATTTTTTGGAATATTATATAATAAAAACCCGTTTCTTTATTCATATATCTAACTCTTACTTTATAACATCTTTAATCAAATTATAGTGTTAGCTTATATGCAATTTCAAAGTATAAACAACAAATTTAATCAAATCCATAAAATTTCAATATTTAAAAAAAAAAAGTAAAAAAGCAAATGATGTTAATTTGCATAAGCGTGCCATCCAACTGAGATCATTAAAATAATTAAATAAAAAAAAAAAACCGAAAACACATTAAGAAGCTGACAGTACTCAAATTCATGCTAGAAGTTAGCTACTTACGTACATCACCAAATGAAGGGAAAACAACTGAATTTATAGTACAAGCCCTCTTAATTGTGTGATTATCATTAAGGTAAGTGTTTGGCTGGCTTTTAGACACATTCAAGGGCTAAGCACTCCTTAAGTCGATGGTGGTTCTTCTAAAGACTTGGGTGTTCTAAACACTCTGATGTATACTCGAGTTTCGAAGGTTTCAGGCCCTTTCGCTACTGTGCTCACATCTAATGGCTTTAAGGTCCTTTTGTGTTTAGACGCCTGATTTCCTTAATACAATACCGCGTCTATGGGCTCTCAGAACTTTCTATGCTTAACGCCTGCCTTTCTCTAAAATGTTTTATAAAGTTCCGCGCTTGTCCCTGGCAACCCAATGACTGTTCTATGGCTCGGTCCCATATTCGGAATTAGTGTTTGAGGCTTTGGCTCATAAGGTTTATTTAGATATTAATAAAATTGATTTGATAACGTTAAAAAAAATTATAATTATGATTAAAAAAATTATTATAACTTTAATTTAAAATTTTTAATAACAAAATTTACTAAATAAATTTTATTAAAATTAATATTTAATTTTAATTAATAATAATTAAAAAATTATATCTCATTAAAAATATAGTTGCATTTAAATATAAAAAATTAAAGTAAATGATTAAGATTTAAAATCTGAATACAAAGCATAAAAGCTTAAACTCTCACGGTAAGAGATTTATAAATTTAAAAAATATAAAAAATCCCTAAATTCTCTTTTAAATTTACAATTTAACCTAACTTCGAAATTATGATAATTTTTCATGCTCTTAAACATTTCTTAAAAAAAAATAAAAGCCATCTGACGTTGGCTCAAAATTGTAAAGGAAATAAACAGAATACTAAGGGCAAAACCGTCATGAAAAAAAAAAAAAAAACTTTGTTTCCTTGCATTCTAGTTCAGGGTATCGTAACCGCTCTTCTTCCCTCTTCATACAAACTCAAGCAACATACTCACTTTTGTCTCCTATCTCTCTCTCTTGTCTTTCCTAACTGTCATGGATTTAGATTCCTCACAACCCACTGTTCTTTAGTCAAATTTTCCTCTCAACCAGACAAACAAAAACCTTATTTTCTGTCTGTTTGCCTTTTGATTTTGTTTCAGTCGAAAGAGCGGAGAATTTTTCTCTGTTCTATCGATCAATGGTGTATCATTCAATCTCTGAAAGAAGAAAGAACTCAAACAAGAGCAAGACTGGAACTGTTATGGCTTCTTCTTCGACATTGAAATCTCAACCTCTGCATAACTTTCAATTACATGACCTTAAATGGGCCATGAACCACACTAACAACCACCGCCTTCGGAAGCTCTCCGATTCCTCTCACAAATCTCCTCAACGCGGCGACACTGATTCTGACTCTGATAATAATCGGAGGGGGAATCCAGTATGCGACGCTCCTGCAAAGAACGGAGCTTCTTCAGGTTCTTCTCCTGATCATAGAACTGAAAAATCGGAGAAGAAAGTTATCAACGGTTCTGATGTTTGGTTTGTTAGTTATTCCGAGAAGAAAGCTACTCCACCGGACGGTAGATCGAAGATCTACTTACGTTTGCGAGCGAGGAATCAGAAGTCTGCTGACGAGGTTGCGGATGTAGGAGATCAGAACTTGAATGCTGAAGAAGTTGAAGAATTGGTTCCCAAAACGTGGAATCTGAGGCCTAGGAAGCCGATTTCTAAGCCTCCAAATCAAAATGGAGGCGTCCCGAAGATCGGAGCTTCGGCGCACGAGAACCAAACTCATAGGCCGGAATCGACCCGGTCTGGGAATGTAACAGAACACAAAGCGGCTGAGAAGAAGGAGAAGAAACAGAAATTCTCGATTTCGCTTTCTAGAGAAGAAATTGATGATGATATCTTTGCTATGACCGGGTCAAAGGCCTCTAGAAGGCCAAAGAAGCGAGCCAAGAATGTTCAGAAACAACTCGATGTAAGCTTTTGAATTTCTTCATTATCTATCTGTCAAAACTTTTGTTTTTCTAATTCTTTGTGAATCTTTAACAGTTCGTGTTTCCGGGATTGTGGTTAGCTTCGATAACGCCTGACTGCTACAGAGTCCCAGAGGCTCCTATAAAGGTCTGATGTTTTGGCTATTCAAAAGTTTAATCTTTTTTTAATAACGTAGCCAACTGATTTTGAGTGAAGGTTTGATTTTGGTGATTGCAGGGTTAGATGGGACTGCTGCTAAAGCTGTGAATTTGGAGGGTGGGGATAAGGGTGACTGCTAAACTTTTTTTTTTTTGCTGCTCTAGAATGAGCTTGTAGAGATGAAAGGGTAACAAATGTATCTTGTTTTTGTGCCTTTTTCTTTAATCCATGACGAAGTTAGAAGGATGGCGGGAGACAGTAATATTATGAATCTTGTTATGAGTAGTTACAGATTGTAAATATGACTTACCAGTTTCAAAAACAGGGGTTTAACCGTTTCAGTTTATGTAAAAGGAAATCGTTTTTCAGGAGATCTTTTAGATCCTTAGGTTATCAGTACTTGTTAGTTGTTCATGGAACTGGTTTAAATGTTAGAGCGTAATAACTGTTTATTGATCCAGAAAGTTTGGGATGCATACTTGTGTTTGATGAGCATGTGTTTTTTGTTTCTATTTTGTTCTTTCTAGTATGCACGAGTTGGATAAAATGTACTGATTTACTGGTGGTTGATGGATTGGATCAGTAATTAACGGATAGTAGTTATGAGCACACATTAGTTGTTGATGGATTAAGTAGATATGAGCGCTTGTTAGTAATTAACAGATTGAGTAGTTCTGAGCATGTGTTAGTAATTAAATAAATTAAGTGGATATGAGAATGCTTTAGTAATTAACGGATTGTGTAGTTCTGAGCACGTGTTAGTAATTAACGGATTAAGTACTTCTGAGCACATGAACATGTTTTTGCTACTTTCTGTTATGTTAAGAATACAGAGTGCTGGACAAGAATATAATTTATGGAATCCATATATGGTTGGGACATACTTTTATGATTGATTTGCAACAATGGGATCTCTAAGTTCTTTTTCGCTTCTTAAATGTACATTTGTCAAAGAAAAAAAGGTTAGTGTACCGTTTCAATTTATTTAGTAAAGTGTCATTCTTTAATGAAAGTAAGTTGTTTTATTTGTTCTTTCTGTTTTATCCCTAGATAGTGTAAGTGACAAACATGTGTTTTGGCCATTCAAGGCAAGACGTGTGCCTATGAGCACGATGAAACGGTTGAGTGATACACCCTATAGTTGGCTTGCATGCAGTGTATCTTTACATTCTTACATGCTATTAGAAAGCAAACTAGCGAGATGAAAAACAGTTAGTTCACTGGCTCTTGATTGGTTTGAGATGAAGTTCAACCGTTAAATGAATCAAAAAGTTTTGTCTTGTGCATCTTTCTTGTTTGAAAAGATTATGAGCTAGATGCATCACCATTATTTCTATATGACACATCTGATTGATCAGCAAGACTTACATGTCACAGAAGCTGTGCATTGTGTGATTGAGTTACATCTTTTAGCACTGAGTTTACTCTTGCTTTGAGAATTGCATTTGTAAAAAGTAAAAGTGGTCAGTTTATCACTATTGAATAGATTTAAGAAAAATGCCAATCTCTAATAGTTTTTCTTGTTTATCTTCCCAATTTGAAAGTGTTTGAGTGAATGGATGCGGCAGCAACTGTTTACACACAGATATGTGTTTCTGATCAGGTAGAGAAGTCAGAGCAGATTGTATGTATGGAAGTCAGCAAGCTGAATAATCAGGCTAATGGTCTTATGAAAATATTGGCATTCTTTAATTAAGTAGTTTTTCCTGTTTGCCTTTCCTGTTTGAAGTGTATGAGGAATTTGTTTGTGTTATTTTTAATGGCAAGATGTGAATGACTGAATAGGCTGGAATTTCATGGAATATATCAGTGTTGGAGCCTTAAGAGTTGGGTTATTGTGATTGACCTCCATGCTTTATATTTGTGTCTAAATTTTCCCTCTAAAGAAAAACTGCTTTTGGTCACCTCATGACAAGCTTCAGTCTTACTGAAGTAGTTTTGTTTTGCTTATTAGTAGAATTATTGCAATTAGAGAGACTGTGAAGGAAATAATGATAGGTTTGAGTAGGTTAATTTTTCTATTCATTGCCAATATGATTGCATCAATATGTGTAAATACTAGTTAAACTTGAAAAACTAAATTCTCCTGTTAGAGTCTTATCTCTGTCATACAAATGATTTTCATTTTTAGCAATATGATATGCAACTAATATCACTTGATAGGAGTTTAAAATAAAAATGTGTTTATCATGCAATTAGATTGTCCAAAGAACTAATCATCTCTATATTTGACATTATTTAACATTTTTTTGGTTAACCACAGTACATATTAGAGGTGCCTGTGCATCTATTCTTTGCTTTTGAGAAGGGTGCAAGAGAATATCAAAGTATATATAGTATTTACAATGATTGCTGAAAGCTTATATAGCATATATAGTGAACGGTAAAAGCATATATAGCGTCCTTAGCATTCATGAATTTCGTTTTATATATTTGGAAACTCTATAAATCTCAAATCTTGCTATAACCACTTTCTCTGAAACATTAACCATTTCACCATAGTACATATATCAAATGGGATATAGTACTCTTTTTGGCTGGAGGTTTTAATTTTTAAATTTATCTGATTTGCTATTACTCTGTAATAGAGTATGGGCCTTAAATTTGTTAGAATGTGCTTCTTCTGGGATATATGATGTTATCTATTATTTAATATTTCTACTGGAAATATCTGGCAAGTTAGGACTGAATATGCATCTGATTGGGAACATTGGTTACAAAGCTGCTTCAGGTTAGATGCTCAGATCATGTGGAAGGAAGAAAATAAAGTGCCATAATTTCATGATTTTTACTGTGTTTTGATTTCTAGTTCAGTGTTTCATAGAAAATACTTGGTTGTTCTGTTTAATGCTTCAGCCTAATTGAAAGGCTATGTAATTACCCCCAGGGCTGTCACTATCTAGAAAATGTTTCATGAGCACACATTCTTTGAAAGACAACATGACAGGTATCACTATCATGCTTAGTTCTGGTCCCTGCCTTTTTTTTATTATTTTTTATTTTGGGTAGTTACAATTATTGTGTTTTTTCCATTTTAACTGTGATATTTTCAGTTTGCAGCAGATCAAGTTTGACTATAATGTTGTCAGACCAAGGGAGACTCTGAACTGGATAATTTTTGTCATGGAGATGTGCAAACTCAAAACTTCTCCATGCTCCTAGGTTATATCACCTGGCTGGTTCCCAGCAAAGAACTGACAACTAAGCAAACCCTGTTCTGGATTTTGTAGAGAGCTTGAAGTTCGTAGATTTGATGCTGAACTTGAAGGGGGCGTTCTGGTATTGGATCGTCTCTGTAATCCAGTGACACCATACAAATGAAAACGGCTGCAGTTAAGAACCAGATGAAAATGGCTCCCAGCACACTCCATTAAGGATCTGCAGACTACAAATGTAGCTTGCTGTCCTACGTGTTATTGAGGGATTTAATATGTTTCATTGTATTTCATCCTGCACAAGTTTTGAAAGTGGCAATTTTTACAAAATTCTATCATCGTGAAACTTGGAGTATTGACATTGAGATAATGCTGCTTTTTGACAATGACGGGAGTAGTGTGCCTGGTAACGTACTTCATCTTTGTAGCCAAGGCCTGGCTGCCTAGCAACCAATTTCACTTGTTGCATGTGCATTGGCCAAATTTTAAAGCAGGTATATTTTCCTAAAAATGAAATTCGTAAGTTAGATATGAAATATGAGTGGTGGGTTAATGTAATTTTTTCACAAATGGCTGTCATTTTCCTTGCAAAACATGCAGTGATATCATATTTGGAAAAAAAAAAAAAAAAACTAAAATTGCTCTGGATTTTCACATTTTTGCTCTCTAAACGTGATGGTTTCAATTCCAAATATCCATGTAAATTTTACTAGAACTTTCCACTCCAAACAAAACACTGACTTTGTTCCTTCCAAAAAAAAAAATGATTTTGTACAAGAATTGACTCTCCAACGACCTTTATAATGAAAAGGATAGAAAGGATAGGACGTAAGAAGCATTATTGGCCAAGCATTGGGCGATTTCCCCGTACCAACTTAGAACCTTGTTCATTAGTCTACAGTGTAAAAAACTGAAACGACAAGTCCTTACTGGAACTGGTTGTCCTCAAATACTGCAACAAAAGTTGTATCATTTCACATTTGTACTCGATGGTTTCTTCGAACTTCTATCTTTTAGAAGAAAAGCTTCCCTTACTAATTATTCCCCCTGGATGTAAATGGTTTCTTCAAACTTCTTAGAAGAAAAAATATATCATTATTAAAAAAACAAACAATGGGATTAGCCGGGCAGGCCACAGGAGGCAGCCTCCTATGGTTAGATTGGGCTGACATTAAGTCGAGCTTGTGAGTGCTAACCCATTAACAAGAAAAGTCCAAATAATAAGGAAGCAGTCGAAGAGAAGCAGCTTAGAAGGGGGCAACTGGACAAGGTGACTGAAAGTCTGAAGGACGAGAAATAATGGAGGTGGAGGAGAGCGGTGGTGATGATGGTGATAAAACCCGCATCCACAGCCACCGGTATTGGGCCATAGCAAGCGTGGCCCACAACGGATGGGTGGTCTATACATCTATAAACTATATCAGTTGTACTCTATGATGAAATGATTATATAAACCTTTATTTTCTAGTTAATGACTAACATTTTCTCATTTGACAGCTGCCCAATCTTGTTGAATTAAATCTGTTATGGGCTTAACTGCTTGCTAGAAGACAAGTTAATGAATTTGGATCAGAAAATATATGGATTCATAGGTGAGTGCATGGTTTTTAATGTCACATAATTAAATAATAGTTAGTGTTTTTCTTTTTCATTTTGAAATGATGATAGATTTAAATGTAAGAAAAAAGAAAATTTTTAAAACTTTTTTTTATTTACTTTTTAATCTATACCATATATTAAAAACAATCTCATGAAAGTTGTTTATTTTTACATGATCGATTTTAATTTGATTGAATTTTTTTTTATTAATTAAATGAACAATGAAAGAATAGACCAAATAAAAATAAATGTCTAGAGTTTCAACTGAAACTTGAAAGGTTACTTTTATATCAAAAAATATATTTATACATTTTTATTAAAATAATTGTTTTTGGCATGTATCTTACCTAAAGATAGTGTTGAAAATTTTTTTATTGTTGAAAATATTAAAGGGTTTTTGATGATTATGAATTGAATTAAAAAAGATGGAAACACCTAGAAATAAAGAAGGGAAAGACAAATTGAGGAAAGAAAATTAATAAAAATAGAGAGAAGTGATAATTCCACAAAATAAAGGAGTTTGGCTTGAGAAGTTTGAAAAAATCATGTTTTTGAATTTACACTAAAAATTAAAGATATGGGTCGATGGTCAATGATTACTTTTTTTTCACGGGTGGAAATTCAATAATGGATTTTGTAAATAATTTGCATTTAACAGTTATTTTATTTTTTAAAAGATATTTTTATGCAAAATTTCTTATTTTTTAATATAATTTAATTTTTTATAAAAGCACAACAAAAATAAACAATCAAAATAGATTTAAAAAACATGAACTGTGAATTTATCCGTTACATTTGTATAATTTATTTTTAAATTTTTTGTTCTTTGTCTTAGTTTTATATTTCTTTTTTTTATTTACTTTTATATTATATTTACTATTATCAATTAAAAAAAATATATACCCTTCAATTTTCTGAAAAATTAAAAATCCTTAAGGCCGCAACGGAGTGCGAGGTCTCGTACTAGTTTATATATCAATTGCTTCCTGTCCTGTGTCTTAAAATTTTCACCATCAATATTTGCAATTTTTTTTTTTTTTTTTTTCATTTTAACGGATTGAAGATTTAATGGAAGTGGGGTGCCAGTATAAGAACTGGACATCTAATTCGTGCAAGGGCACGGGATAAATGAGTTTTACCTTTGGTTCAAGGCCATTTCCTTTTTGAGGATCTTTCTGGGTTTTCATTTTTCTTGCCTTTTTAACAAAGATAAAACTTGTCCTTAATTACTAAATTGTTAATACTTAGAACAGTTTTTTTGATGTTCAAAACCCTAAACAAATAAATCAAATAACATACAAAGATAATGAAGGGGGACTGGGAAAAAGAACTGCCAGAGTGTTATTGACTGTAATTTGTATAATCAAAGCAGCAGATCAGCAAGAGTGTTGTTGTCCAGCACATTCTGGTAGAATTAAGATTTGAAGAATCCATGCATCTACCAGTACCAAGGATCCATTACCCCATCCACAATTTTAAGGAGAACGGACAAACAATTCCCAATCAAATTTACAAAATCCCAAACATTTCCCCTGATCTAGTAAAGGTGTGCTTAAATTTAACCAGTGACAGAGATCAAATGTGGGACAGTGAAAACTAAGCTCAACTAGAAGAAAAAACGAATTTTCTGCAGGAATAAGTTTATCCCAGGTTAATTTGTTGCAGAAGATCTTAGCTCAGCTGCTGGTAAATAAGACTCCAGCATTAATTCTGCCCGGGAAGGTGAATTGATCTGAACAATCAAGTAGGTATACTTCCATTTGTTGTCTGTTTTGTCCTTGAACATTTCGGTAAAAACTTTCCCAGCTCCATGGGGCCCACGAATATAGAAATTAACCTGTTTTGAAATGGTCAAGAAGCAATCACAAATCAAAATTTCAATATGAAAGATCTAGGGGATGCAACTATCATTTTTTTTTTTTTTTGTTTGAAGGAGGGTGGGGGAGTATGATCTGTGGAGTGGTTATCTCAGAAAAACAGTAGAAATTGCAATATAACTAACATAAAGTTGCTTATAGCTAACAAATATGAAAGACTTTTTTTGACATGCTTGTTAAGACTAGAGGATCACCTCCACATGCTCTACACCATTTTCGTCTGTGTATATCCTGTTTGGAATGCGTTGACGGGCAGCACGATTTCTACTTTCTTGACCATAGCCTGTAATAGGATGTCCAATCCTCACCCTAACCTGATGGGAACAAATGTAGTCCAATGTGAACATTTAATTGCAATGACAACAATAACTGGTGCTTCAAAATGCTTAGAATCATATACAAATATGCTGCCTGCTGAACTGTCTCCAGTATCAGGGCACAATTGATGCATCTAAGTAAAAAAAGAAACATATTTATAGTTTATCAAGCTAATTTATGTCAGATTCATCCAAAATCTGACATGACAAGGGCTAATAGATATCATTGCTAAGTAAAAAAGAAATGTACTTATAATTTATCAAGCTAATATATGTCAGATTCATCCAAAATCTGACATGATAAGGGCTAACAGATGTCATTGCTCATTGTTATTTCTTCATTTTTTTTTTATTCTCCTTCTCATACTCGGCTGTTTTTATCTATGGCAAAGTAGGGGCTGCATAGGTATAATGTCAGGCTTCTGGCAGTTATAACTTATAATACATGTTGCACTATTGACATTTCTAGTTTCCTTTGAGAACAGAATAATATCTCTTCGTTGGGTCTACATATGATTAGTACACATTCACAATGTTGGTTCCAACAACAACATGCTATTTTTCACAAACCTGGCTTTCTTGCTGAATTCTTTCCAGAGCCTGGTTGAATATCTTATACCTATAAGACCAAAATTTAAATCACGGTGGAAGAAACAAAGGGAGAACAGTTAATAGCCAAATTACCAACTAGGCATTTGACTCTTACTCTTTTGGTTGAAATATCAGCTCTTTGAAGACAGCATATCCTGCAGCAGCTGCAATCCCAAGCCCAGCAAGGATTATGAGACTGTAGCTAGCACCCTCTGTAAATGTCACAGGTTTGTCTGGGATATTGTATGTAGGAGCATCAAAGGGATCCTCAATATTAGATACTTCTTTCCTAGTCTGCCAATGGGATAAAGACAACAACTCAGTGCAACTGATGTGTGAATTGAAGTACCATAAAGCCCAGAGAACAAGAAAATGCAGCAATTATATGAACTCAACCAGTACAGCATTTGATGAGAAAAGCTCAGACAATTATGAAGTTACTTGTTCTCACCCTGATTGTATACTAGAAACTTTGAACTCCCGCATCGATAGATGGACTTTGCTCAATATAAAATAAAATAATCTTCAGCAATGTTAATGCCTTTTTATTGCTATTTAATATCCAAAATATGATAAAATAATGTAAGTCATTCCAAGCTCATCTTAGGAAAGAAAGATGATGATAAAAACCTAATCCTTTTGGACAAATTACTCTTTAGCATCCTTTTAGCATTCAGGAAGTGATAGTCTCACGATAAAAGAGGATAAAACATACATTTATTAATATACCAGAATTACAAACTAAGCAAAAAACATGTAAAGTATTTTTCTAAATTATTTAAGCTAATATAATGAAAACATGAAAGGCCAAAAATGTATGTGAGCATACCTCCGATGTTTCTTTTGATTGCTTTGAAGCTCTGGATGCAAAGGGTCTAGCAAAGCAAGGAGACCTGAGCTTCAATCCATAATTTTCTGTGGGTGGGACTGATGCCTGACAGCTAACTATATAATCTCTACCACACTGTCCTCTAAATGGAAAAGGAATGCCTGCCGGACGTTATTGTCAAAATATAAATTTAAGAAAAAAATAAGGGAGAGAAGAAGAGAAGAATTATTCTTATGCTAATCCAACTTGACATAAACGTTTTATGCACTCCACAAAGTAGACCACTTGTACATGAAACATATTCTACCACAACAAACTCATGAAAAGACAGGTTAGGCGAACACAGAAGTTCTCCATAACAGATAGCAAAAGGAACAACAATATTAACTGTAAAGTTAGATTTTACCAACATGAACAATGCAAGAACTCCATAATCTTCAGGAAATTGAATGAAAAGAAATGAGAGCTATCTTCCAAAAATTTTTTAAAAAATAAATGTGAAACCTTCTCAGAAAATTATTTTCTCAAAATAACTAATCTAGATTGCTGATTGGCTAAAATCTTAATAAATTGATCATAAATGCTGACAGATAAACATAAATGAGAAATAACTAACCGTCAGCTCCATGTACACCCTGCAGAATGGAGAAGAAAGCATTTAGTCTGCAGCTAACTAGAGAGAAAAAATTGTAAATAAAGCATTTAGTCTGCAGCCATGTAGAGAGAAAAAAATGTAAATAGGATATGAACTATTGCCTGACCTTTGATATATTATTGGCACCTGTCACATACTGTCTTGTAAAACTAGAACTCCAATCCGCTGGAAACTGCAGTATGTCATCAGAAAATTATTCACCAACTGATACAGATTCATCATATCTAAGAAATACTCAAAAGATCAACAGAATTTCATAAACTATGATGCAATCATATTAAACAAGTCAAAGCAAAGTTTAGGCTTAACAACATAAAAGCAGAAGAAGCTCTAATAAAATTGATTGGCACATAGACCTTTTTCTCTACTAACTACTACAAAATTTATGCATTTGTGCCCTTAACATTTCACAAAAAAATCACCATTGCCAACTACCTTGTCAGTTAATAACACACATAAAAAGGGTAACACATTCTGTTGGCAAGCGAAAAGAATACCTCAAATAAAGCAAATAAAAGAACAGTGAAGTCCAAAAGGAAAACTACTCATACAAAGCAAGGAATAAGCCATCGTACCCTTTTAGCAGATGGTGAAAAGCCATCCAAACAAGGCTTAGATTCCACAAATGATCTCAAGAAACCACTCCATCTGCTCCTACTAGATATTACATAACTCCTTACATTCTGCATCTTCAACTATATAAACTGAAACCTTTTCTTCTACAACTCTATGAAAAATACTCTCTTTTCTCGCTGGATTATCAACGAGCAACAAAGCAAAAAAAAAAAAACCCTGAATATAATCTATTCAAAAGACATGAACTACTAAAGACAGACAGCGCGATGCAATTGGGGAAACGAGAAACCCCAGCGGCTGAGGTTTTATCACAGACACGTGCAACCCGAAGTCGCACGTGTTTCTTACCGTTGAACTGCATTAAGCCATTAACCTCAGGCCTCAGCGATGGCCCGTGCTGGGGTCTAACTTGAGCCCAGGATCCAAAAGGATATAATAACAAACATTTCCAACATGAAGGGGTCAAAGAGTAATTATGTGCAAAATATGAAAAATCACGGCGCATGACGGGTCTTTCCTTTTTCCTCCCTCTCCGTCACTCACTCCATCCGTTGTCTGATTAAGAAGAACAGAGGAGAAACAAAGAAGCTTTCTTTAGCTGCCCTTTACCAGTAACCCCTAACCTTAACTTATACACACATATTTATTTACGTACCCATATACTTATATAAGCTTATTAGTTTGTAAAGATGTGGTGAGTCATGTACTTGTACTTTTAGTTGACCAAACTGACCTGCAAAAGCTGGCGCTTTTAAGGTTTCTTTGGTTTCCTAAGAGTGGTGATAGAGGTGGAATGAAGAAATGGAAAACTTTTGAGCCTTTAGACATCAAAAACTTAATTCCTTTGCTCTTGAATGAGCTAATCGAATGACTTTTTTCTATTTCTATAGTACTTTAATAGAGAACCTAGGAGAATACTTATTTCTATATATTTATTTGTAATTTCTTTTATTTTTCTTCAAGTTTAGAGAAATTTGGTTGAAGCGGCCTGAGTTAAGTATTATTCTTGCGCTGGGGTTTCTGTTTTCTTGTTTACATTTTGGCTATGAATATGACACAACTTATATCAATAAGCTGTGGTCTTGATGATGAATTGTATGTTCTTGTGAATGACTTTCTTGTGGATGTAGGGGAAAATGGGGCTGCAGTAACTTGGGTTTATGATTGACAAGTGAGGTCTAATCACTGTTTCCTCTGGTGTAGATGGCTAGATGGGATGAGATTCTGTCCCTTCCTGTACAAAATCTACCGACCTTGGAGTTCTCTGCTTATGATTTTGTATGGTCAAAGGTAGAAGATTGGCGTGACAATATAGATAGAGTTGCTTTAATCCCCTTTGCTAGAGTGGATGACTTTGTTAGGGGTGAATCCTCTAATAAAGACTGTCCAACAAGATTTCATGTTGAAGCAAGAAGGCGGAGATCACCAAAGGCACCTTATAAGCCAAAGGTTGATGGTATTCTTGAATATATTCTGTAGGTTCTGCCTCTTTTCTTCCTTGTTTTTTATTTTTAAATCTTTTGATAGCTTGTGTTCGATGATCTTGCACTACAATTTGTTTGAGTTTAAATTTATCCTATTGAATTTGTAGTTATTGGTGTTCATTTGGTCCTGATGACCATAGGAAAGGGAGCATTGTACGACCCAGCAGGAATACATATATTCCTAAGAAGACAAATGCTGGTTGACCTAATACGAAAAGAGGATGCACGTGTTACTTTATTGTAAAACGCTTAATTGCCGAACCATCGGTAGCACTCATAATATATAACCAGGATAAGCATGTAGATAAAAAAGCGTTGCCATGCCATGGGCCACAGGACAAAAAGGCTGCTGGCACAAGTGCCATGTTTGCGCCATACATCTCAGAGGATCTGCGCCTCCGTGTGTTATCTTTACTGTATGTTGGGGTCTCTGTGGAGACCATAATGCAGCGGCACAATGAATCTGTAGAGAAACAGGGTGGTCCATACCACCGTGATGACCTTTTAACCCACAGGTATGTTCGAAGGCAGGAAAGGAGCATTAGACGTTCTACATTTGAGTTGGATGCAGATGATGCAGTCAGTGTAAGCATGTGGGTTGAAAGCTACCAGAATCATGTATTCTTTTATGAAGATTTCACTGATTCGGACCCATTTCCCTGGGGCATTCAAACTGGCAGTTGCAACAAATGATTCGATTTGGAAATCGCAGCTTCGTTGCCTCTGATTCAAGGTTTGGAACAAATAAACTGAAGGTTTGTGTCTTTTTCCTTTCTTTGCCTTCCCTGATACTCACCTCTTAAGTACATGACTCACTCCTATTACTGTCACTGTCAGTCCGTGAAGAATTTTAATGTCATTGAAACTAACTGTTCTCCTTTTTAAAATTATTTTCAGTATCCTGTTCACAGTCTCATTGTCTTCAATTCAGGCAAGAAAGCAATCCTGGTAGCTTGGATAATAACTCAAGATTTGCTAATGTGGATGCCCTTAGATGGATGAGGGCTCTATACAACAGGGTTTGCACAAAAGATCCTACTTGGAAGTTGGCAGGGTTTATTGTGGATGATCCTTCAATTGATGTTCTTAAAATCAGGTTGGCTGTTAATTACATGACTTTATGCTTTTAATATGTCGTGGAAGAATATTGTTCCTTCTATTTCAAGATTATTTATTTTGTGCAACAGCTCCTTGGTTGGGGTCTCCTCTTGTGTGTTTTCCAGAGGTTGCTCTGCTGATATGATTCTAATAAATGTGAAACAAACTGAGGGTAGAAATTTTTTCTGTTTTTCTTTTTGATTTAAACTAGGAGTAACTTCGTTCAGCTTGATTACATGAGCATCTTAAGTGGCATATTGAAATGGTTATGCCATTTCAGCATGATGAAGGGTTACGATATTTGCTCTCTTTTATGGATGGATGGGATGTGCTCAATTTAGTTCATATTTTCTTTCTATTGGATTGTATTCAGGGATGTTTTTGAGTGCTCTATATTGATATCCTTTTGGCGGGTACACCATGCATGGCATAAAAATTTAGTGAAGAGATGTTCAGAGACAGGGATCCGTGTTGAGATATCAAGACAACTTGGGCTGGCAGTTGATGACATTTGCAGAGGATGTGGAAATGTTGATTTGTTTGAGAAATTCATGGAAGATTTTGTTGATTGCTTGGATTTTATGGATTACTTCAAAGCAATCTGGTATCCTAGAATAGGTTGGTTGCTACTTCTACCTTTCCTTGCTATTTTTTTTCCAGTAGTTTACACCTGCTCCTGAATTCTTGATTTAAATCATCAGTGGGGAGCCACTTCTAGGTTGAACTATCTCTCCCAAGTATAATGGTGCACCTTCAAATTTGCTACCATTTTGGCGGTCTATTTCATTTCTCTATATTTTACAATCCATAAAGCAAAGATGCAGAGTATAAATAACTTTAATTGGAAGCATATGGTCCTACAAACTTGATTGTATATTTGTATTGAATGAAAACAGACTTATATCTCACTAAAAGTTTATGACATTTTTCCCCCTCTATGAAAGCCTCTTAACTCGTGGAAAAAGAAAATTAGACCTTTCTTTTTGTTTCAGGGGCTTGGATCTCTGCACTTGTAACTCTTCCACTTGCAAGCCTGGAGACTTGTGCAGCAATGGAATTTTACTACAGTCAACTGAAGCTCCGGTTGTCGAATGAGAAGGATCCTGCTGTCTACCAACGCGCTGATTGGCTGGTTGATAAGTTGGGTACAAAAGTGCATTCCTACTTTTGGCTGGATGAATATTCAGAGAAAGATGATTTTGCACGATACTGGAAGGATGAGTGGGTGAGTGGTTTAACATCTTGGCGGAAGGCATTGAAGATTCCAGATTCTGATGTTTCCAGAGAAGGGGGATGTGCAAAAGTGACTGACCAGCTTGATCCAGATAGAGCTTATGTTGTCTGGAACCCTGGCTCACAGTATGGGATCTGTGATTGTACTTGGGCGGCAATGGGCTACCAGTGTGAGCATGTGTTCAAGGTTATGAAGGTCTATCATGAAAAAGGGTCTATTTTGCCATCTGTGAGCGCATTTCAATACAACAAGGCTTTGATTGACATGCTACATTGCCTGCCTCATGATTCTTTGATCTGTGATTATGCTGTTTCTTAGGCAATCTATGTACAGAAACAGTTAAGTTCACTAATTGCTCTTATTCAGAAACAATCCATGGATGCTATTCAGCAAGGAAGTGCACCAGTGGTCTCTGCAAGTCGAAATAGAGGATTAGTTGCCAAGGATCATTGTGCAAATGGTAACATATTGTCTAATCATGAAAATGGTTATGCAGTTTGCTCTAAGGCTCCTGCTGGTATTGCTAGTGATCTGGGCAGTGAATCAGTTGATCAGGTAGTTGGTTATAAGGCATTTCTGGTGAGAATTCTGGAGAAGGAATATCTGGTTGTGATATGGATGTTGACCCACCCCCCAGTATTTCTCCACCCGAATTACCATCTCTTTATGAGGAGGTTGTAGCTGGTAATGTCTTTTCTGAGCGGGGGGAGAGTGCTTTGATTAGCATGGTCACTACTATGAATTGCAAATTATCTTCCAAAGATAATGCTTTAAGAGTTCAAAATGGATGTGAAGAAGAAATCTTTAACATTAATTGTCATGAAAGTGTGATTGCTGCAGAGACACAACCAGATGAGATTCCTCAAACAAGAGAGCTTTCAAAGCCATGCACAGCAACTCATCACAATGGTTTTGGCAGCAAGAGTAGTGAACCTTCATAAGCGTCCATGTCTACTCCTGAAAAAGCCTCCCCATCCATGTCCTGTACTGTCGAGCCACAAGTGCTTTTGGCTGAAGCCTCAGGTGCTCTGAATCTGGATGTATCAATGGCATCAGAAATGAGAATGAGATTAGAAGTAAGAATCATTCTTCTAATACTGCTCTCTCATCAGATGGCGTTCATGTTAATTTGGGAATTGTCACTGATCTTGGTGATGAAGCAAAGACAGTTGACAGCAGTGTGGCTGAATGCTCAAACATTCCAAAATGATTCAACAATGTTGCATCATGGTGATGGTCAACCACCTATTGAAGTTGCAGCTCAAGAAACTGATGATTATGGTGAGAAGGAACTTAGCAACAAACCTTCTTCAACTAATTCTGAACTTCAAAAGACTGCTCAAGATGGAAATAAGGAGATTTGTGAACAGGTGAGGCGTGATCAGAAAGGTGCTCTTGCTGTGAAAATTGTTTCAGAAGAGGCTGCTAACAACTCTGCATTCAGTGCTGGCTCTGACACAATTTTCATCATTCAGCAATTCTTTATTTCTTTGTACATGCTTGTCAATTAATTTAATTGTAATTTTGTGATTCTGCCTGTTGCACTAAATTTTAGTATAATTAGCCAACAAATTATCTCGCATTGTAAATGTAGATTTTCATGCTTTTGGCAAAAGTGGATCACTTGTAACTGTTAAGAAGCTATATACTAAATGTTCAAAATTTTACAGTCCAATGTTGTAATACACTTTTTTTAAAATTCGCAGCAGAAATGTCACATTGAAACCTTAAATTGTCGGTCTTTATAATGTTTATTTCCCCGTTTCTTAGTACATTTGAGGAAGCAGAAAGAACAGATTCCTCTGAATACAACTTGCCAGACATAAGTTTCCTGCCGAAGCTTATCAATGCTGGAAATTATTGGTGAAAACTCGTATATCCATAGTTATTGTAATCCTTATTCATAAGCCTGCGAAACTTCAGGCCCAAGTTTTTTTGAAGGTTACAGGCTTTCACTGTGAGAGAGGGAAATTAGGCAGCTATAATCTTATGGGATAATGTCTCACCCACGCTTCAATGATTAAAAATTTGTCTTAAGTTTAACGTTTTAACTAGTTTCTTCAGCCACAAAGTTGACTTGTCCCTTGTATATTATTTCTGTTTCTAGTTGTAGGAGGTCCTTCTCTTTTTCTGTTTCTTTTTCTTAAAAGGATGACTAAAGACACTTTCCAGCAACCAATAGCTGGTCCACTTCTAATTCACGTGCTAATTTGTTGGGCCGACTAAAGTACATATCCGCATCAAGACTACAACTTTTCGCAATGAATCAACAGCTTCAATATCATAATCCAAAGAAAAAACAGAATTGGTTCATCTCCATCACTTTCATTGTCTCAATTCACACTGTTAGCAGACAAAACAGGGGAAGAAAAAGACTGTCATGAAGTAAAACTGATTATTTGTTCAATCAAAGGTCTTAAGAATTGATACAAAAGTTCTAATGCAAACAAAAGCAGACGCATCAAGAGGAAGGCTGAGACATGCTTGAGATGAAACTGGAGTCATCTTCTTCATGGTTCAACCCAAAGAATCAATGACATTACCATTGAAACATTATTAAAGATGCTCGTCGAAAATGAAAGTAACGCCAGTCTGGTCAGTTTTCGTAAGCACCTCAAAGTTTCCAGCAGTGAATGACTCATCTTTGAAAGAGATCGGTCTTCTTAGTTCTGAATAAGCACAATAACCTACTTCAATGACAGTCACGTCCCCCAAGAACCCAGAAACCGAAACCCCAACACCTTCCCCTGGCATATGAAATGTATATAGTCAATGCATATCAAGTGTTCGGTACCTAATTAGAAATAGAATGACATTTGATGGACAAAGATAACAAATGGCCAACTATGCAGGACAAGTCTGATATTGAAGAATGAAGCATACCATGAGTAACTAACAGCAAGTTTTCAGAGGGGTATTTATCCGCCAGTGCCTTTATAATTTGTTCATATCTAGTCCTCGTCCCCATCACGGTCTCTTCCCATCGTGGCAACTGTAATTTATGGGACAGAAGATGAATCAGGCAGATAAAACTGCATCCAGATCCAGCTACAGTGACACAAATCTTAAATTGTTCAGGAAATAGATCAAATACAAGGCAAATATTACCTCTTTATAAACTGGTTCCACGGTATGATCCAATGTGCCACTTGGTAGCAAAGCCTCAAGCTGTGGAACATTGAAACGAAAGATTCCATCTTTGGGCGCTACATCAAGCCTAATTGCTTCTCTACTTAACATCTCACACAGTCCATACTCAATAGAAACCTGTAAAATACAATAATATGGGCTCAAGGCCTTCAAAAAAAAAAATTGTTTTCGACGAATTTTGATCTGACCTTGACTTTTGATGAGTCGATGGAAACAACGTCGGTGGATGACTTGGCATTGAGATTGTCATCGACGGCACAAAGGGCGGCGACAACCTCGGAGGCGGTCTGGACGCAGCGGAGGAAGGGGGAGACAAACACTCGGTGGATCGGGAATGGTAGGTGGGTACGAAACGTACGGCCGGTACGAAAAGCCCTGGCCAAGCCGTCTTGTGTAAGCGGTGGGTCCCATGGCCTCTCCGCCGTCTGCACCCACTTGGCATCGAAGTTGTCCAAACGGTCGCCGTGCCTCATTACGACCACGTTCTGGTAATACGCCTTTGTCTCCGAGGAATCCATCGCTGTCGCTTTAATGATTAGATTTCTCCAAGGAATCAAAGGTATTCTGTCTCTGGTTTTTATGCGAATAGAGAGTGGAGTTTGGAAAGGAGCTATAAAACAGTTGCGCAATGTTCCCATTCTCAGCGGCCTTTGCTTCCCCGGTTATAGTTGCTTGTTTTTTTCAAGATAAATTTAAAAAATTATCGTTGTTATTAAACAAGGAATTGGGTCCATTAAGAAAAATACTTCGGTCAATAATCAAATTGTTGTCCAAGGCCCGAACAAAATACTTAATCATCGCGAGATATTTGCCCGAGAATGAGGTATGTATGTTGTTTGGGATTTTTCCCGAACAAAAATCCATCCCGATTTTTCACCCGTTGTTATCACTACACGATAATTGGATTTTCTCCTTATACCCATCTATTTCAACTTTCAAGGTTATTTCCTGGAAATTGGTTGTAGTTCTTGAACGGAAACATACATCAGCACGACCATGACCACGAAACATTGGCCATGGCAGATGCAGCCCACCAATTTATCTTGGGTCTGAGAAAATTGGTTGAATGCCTAAAGTTGGGCTCACTGAATTTCAGAGGCCCATTCAAACATTGCCACCAGAGGAACACCAATAAAAAAAATATGATCTCATATATATATATATATATATTATATTATATTATAACTACATAGTTATTAAATAGTAGTTATTGACGTAGAGGATTATGTAGATTTTTTTTTTAACACATAAAATAATTTTAAAAAATTTTCATTATGATGACATATAATATATTTATTAATTTTAAATTATTTATAAAATATATATTTTTAAAATTATTAAATTATATAAAATTTTAAATTTTAAAAATCAATTTAAATTTAATAAAATTTCTTTCTCTCATATATAATTTAATCTCAATTTAAAATCAATTTTAAAGTAATTTATTTTTTTCAATTTATCTAAAATTAACATGAGTATTAAATTCTATCACAACTTTTAAAAATATTATTTAATATCTTTAATAATTTTGATAAATAATGTTTACATTATCTTCAATTTTTAAATATATTTCACAAAAAAATGTGAAAAAAAATATAAATACCAGAACAATTTTAGAAAAATTTCTCTTATACATACCTCATTCTAATTTAAAACCAATTAATTTATTACAACTTTTAAAAATATTTTTAATATTTTTTATAAATAATCTTTATATTATCTTCAACTTTTAATATTTCACAAATAAATTACGAAAAAAATATAAATATCAAAATAACTTTATGAAAGTTTCTTCTATACATCATCTTATCTCAATTTAAAATTAATTTCAAAGTAATTTATCTTTTTCTATTTATCTACCATTAACATGAGTATTTAAATTTATCATAATTTTTAAAAATATTATTTAATATCTTTAATATTTTTTATAAATAATCCTTATATTATTTTTTACTTTTAAATATATTTCACAAAGGAAATGTGAAAAAAAATATAAATATAAGAACAACTTAAAAAAAGCCTTTATTATTGGTAGTTTTTAGTTATATAGTTTTCTAATATCCTATTAAGCTAAACATATTTTTCTCTACTATTAATTTAGTCTATCTTTTTATTAATCTATTATTGCTATAGGAACTAACATGCTTTTTTTGATAATAGGTACTATTTCGTTAGATATACTATTCACTCTATCAGGTAGAAAGTATTATTTCACTAAATATACTATTCATTTCATCAAGAAAGATTTTTTTTTAAATCAATTGTAATATTTTTTTTAGCTATAATATTTTTTTTATATTACAAAACACATATATTTTTATATTTTTATTGATATTGTCTGCAAATTTTTTAATTTTTAGTGGATTCTTCACTTAATTAAGTAATATATTTTATCTTTTAATTGATAATTTATTTAATATTCCTCATTCTTATAAAATAAATATGATGCTCTGATTAATTGATATAATAGAATTATGTGACATAAACAGAAACTTATGAACCAAATGTACATTCAAAAAGTGAATAATTTCTCAATTTATATCCTTATTGTGAAACATGTAATATAATTTCAAATCAATAGATTATTTTTTATAAAAAAATAAAATTGAAAAGAAATAATTCAGGGATAATCTCATCAATAATATTAATTTCAAATTTATTTATATCTTAACTGTTATAACATTTAGATCTGGGGATATATCGCTAGACATCGATTTGAGAAGTTGTCACAAATATTTTTGTTTAGGTGCGATTGATCACCTAAAGAATCTATCATTTTAAGAAACACCTAAGCTTGATTAAGGGTCTCTAAAAGAATAGATTCATGTCTATTAACCATAATAGAGTTTGAGAGTTCGGTTATGAGTAAGAAAAGTTATAGCACATTCACAACGTCCATTGAAAAATAGTACTAGCTCAATTTCATGTTATCCGATAAGCCTTAAAAATTTTATCAAGTAATTATTATCAGAAATTATTCTTAATTAACTCAAATACTTTTGACAAAAAATTAAGAAAAATTTCTTACCTCAAGAGTATGCAAGAAAACTACTGTTTCTTTTGCAAAGGCTTCGTCGTTAGATTATTAAAAAAAATTTCAGGAAAGAAAATTAATACTTCAAACTTTTTTTGAAATTTCTTTTTCTTACTTTATTATTGTTATTATTTTTTTAAGGATTAATTATTTTATTCAAGGAAAATTGATACTTTCAACTTTTCCTCAAAAATATCCTTTTTTTATTGAAAATTTATTTTTTAAAAAAAATTGATATTTTCAACTTTTTCTTAAAAATATTTTTTTTGAAAATTTTATTTAAAAAAAATTAAAATTTTTAACTTTTCTTTAACAATGTTTTTTAAATTTTTATTTTTTTATTTTCAAGAAAAATTGATACTTTCAACTTTTTCTTAAAAAATATATTTTTTAAAAAATTTGATTTTCAAAGAAAATTTATACTTCAACTTTCCTTAAAATATTTTAAAAATTTTTATTTTTTATTTCAAAAAAATGATACTTTTAATTTGTTCTTACAAAATATTTTTTTAAAATTTTATTTTTAAGAAAAATTATGAAAATGAAGAAAAATATTTCCAATTTATTAATAATAGACATAATAATAATAATAATAATAAAATAATAATGAAAAAAAAAACCTTAACGCAGCTTGGCTTAGCGACTAAAACGGCTCAACTTGAGACACAGAAGAAGGCTGGAAAGCGCGGCTCGGGCTGCACGGCTCGGCTCAGCAACAGCATCTGGGAAGCGGATTGAAACGTGGGTCAACGCTCGAGTCGAATCGTCCGAATAAAAATACGCTGATCCTAAAAATCACTTAACTCCAAAATGACATCATTTTCAAGGTCCTATAAAAGGCCAAATTCCTTCTTTTTGCTTCAAATCTCTCATTCCCTTTCTCTCTACCCTTTTATTTTCTCTCATTCTCTCTCTAAACCCCAAAAACACCGATTAAATTTCATTGAATTATGGAAAATCTGATCGAAATCTAGGTTTTTCTTTAGAAGTTGATCGAAAAGTTCAACAATTTCTGGAGATGTTATGCAGGAAACTGGGTAATTGGCCAAAAAATTTAACTGACGCGAAAAAAGTCATCGAAAAATTTAACAAGCGTAAAAAATTCAATCAGAATATGAAATTTTCAAAAATTTCTTAGAAAAAAAATGCCCAAAAATTTTAAAAAAAATTGAGATTCTCGTAGCCCTTCTTAAACACTTTTTCTCACCTTTGCCTTCTATATTCTTTTCATTTTTCTTTTGTGTGTCATTTTTTATTTCTGTTTCTACCACTTTCGTGTGTGTCCTTTTTGATGCTTATGACTTTTGTATTTATAGGATTCAAATCAACAGAGTTTCGATTCTAACTTTCAGATAAACAATCCCACACAAACCCAACCACTCGTTTTTATCCTAATTTTTCATTTTTTTACCTTTTTTCATTTTTTTAATTAACCAAATCTTAATCTAGCAAACCCTCAGATAGATTGGGGTGTTTACAGCTGTCCCTCTTTATACATTTCGTGTGCAACAGGAATTACGTAAAGACGTAAACACCCTGCTTATGATCATGCCTACCCATTCATTTTTTTTTACATAGACAACCAAATGACTCGAAACTCTTCTAAGCCGAGATTCACAATTTCTGAAGAATAAACAAAACTTTTCTAAACGGAGGCTTAACAATTTCAGAAAAATAAACAAGGCTCTTCTAATCAGAGGCTCAACAACTTTTAAAAAATAAACAAAGGTTCCTCTAAACAGAAGCTCAACAACTTTGAAAAATAAATAAAGCTTCTCTAAATAGAGGCTCAATAACTTTTAAAAATAAACAAAGCTCCTTTAATCAGAGGCACCATAACTTTTGAAAAATAAATTACTCCTTTAAATAGAGGCACCACAACTTTTTAAAAAATAAATTGTTCTTCTAAACAGAGGTACCATAACTTTTGAAAATAAAACGCTTATCGATAAGGATGTCCAGAGGAAATATAGATTATATCTGATGAAATTTATAATGGAAACTCAAAGATTCACAATTTGAGTTTGAAAGTCAAAAGTTCAGATTCGTAAGAACCTTTCAACTTCATAAGAATTCATTGAAATTTAATTCTAAAAATTTCAGATATGCAAGAATTCAATTCTGTAGGATTTTAAGATTTGCATTTGTAAGACTCACGTCCAACATTTAAAGATTCTCATTCAAATTTTAGAGATTCTCATCCAAAAGTTTAAAGCTTTTCGTTTGAATTTAAAAGGTTCACATTCAAGAAATCTTAGAGTTTCACATCTAAGTTCAAAGGTATTCACTCAAAAATTTAGAGATTCGCTTTCAAAAGTTGAGTTCAAAGCTTTTCGTTTGAATTTTGGAGATTCACATCCAAGAAATCTTAGAGTTTCACATCTAAGTTCAAAAGTTCTCACTCAAAAATTTAGAGATCCGCATCCAAAAATTTAGTTTAAAGCTTTTTTTTTGAATTTTAGAGATTCACATCCAAAAGTTTAAAACTTTTCATTAGTTTTAAGATTCACACCCAACAAATTTTGAGGTTTCACATCTCAAAAATTCTCATTTGAAATTCAAATATTCTCATTTGAATTTGAAGATTTACATTCGATAAATTTTATGATTCACACCTCAAATATTTTCATTTGAAATTCAATTATTCTCATTTGAATTTGAAGATTCACATTCGATAAATTTTGAGTTTCACACCTCACGGATTCTCATTTGAAATTCAAAGATTCTCATTTGAATTCGAAGATTCACATTCGATAAATTTTGGGTTTCACACCTTAAAGATTCTCATTTGAAATTTAAATATTCTCATTTGACACTCAAAGATTCTCATTTGACACTTAAAGATTCTCATTTAAAATTCAAAGATTCTCATTTGAATTCAAAAATTCACATTCGATAAATTTTGGGTTTCACACCTTAAAGATTCTCATTTGAAAACGTTTTAAAGATTTTCACTTAAAACT